AAACATAGGCTTTTCTCATGAACAAAACACAAAATACTGCAGATGCTGGAATCTGAAACAAAAACAGAGAGAGCTGGGAAAACTCAGCAGGTCAGGCAGCATCTATGGAGAAAGGCTTTTCTCATGACTCTGACTCAATGACAGATATCTGAAGCACATGCTTTTGTACGAATGTGGATAAATTAATACAATTGTTATTTGTCTCTGTTTTGTGACTTCCAAGTTCAAAAAATCAGCATTGAAAAGGGAAAAAAGAACAATAATGATCGATATTATTGAATTAGTTTCTATTGATCCTCTGTATTGTACAGTTTATACAGAGTTTTGGGACTTCTTGGTGATGAAAGAAACTGTTTGTGTTCAGTACCAGATTAGCCCATATATATATAGTTCTATAATAATAGCTCAGTTCATCATAAGTTTTTGCTGCCTTTTTCTTTAATTTATACAAATGATTGTTTGAAATGAATCTATTGCTTCACAGTTTGGATGGGTTTTGAAAGTAGGAGGGAGCAAGGAGGACAGATTTTGGAAGGGAGCGCCAGAGATTATGTACAAAGTGTTTGAAAGCTCACCCACCAATGGCTTTTATTGCGTCCAGCTTGTGTTCGTTTTAGCGACGTTATCCTATAAATAGTGAGACACGTGGGTCAGGAAAGCCCCAGACTTCTGCCCTAGTGCTAGGTTTAGCTTAACTGGGTTGGAAGTGAATCTGACCCACCATAGGGTGGAAGGGCGAGAAAAAAATGCAGAAAGTTCACTGAATTTAACTGAAAATTCTCCCTTAGTTTATGCAATTTGCTGTTTTACTCCTTGAATATAGAGGGTGACTAAAAAGTCATATATACCGTATTATCCCCCAAAAATCATAATTTCTTTAAGACTGATTAGACATTGTAATGGCATCATGACTTTTTGGTCACCCTTTACATTGTGGGGAAGAGGGTTGGTTTATTTGCAACAGCCCTTAATTTCCTCTTAATCTTCTGGGTGTTGCACAATTCAGATACTGAATCTAGCTGCTCAGCAGCAACAAACTGTCCTTATATAACCCCTTTCAAATACTGTAGAACATTTCAAAGTGATTTACAGGGAAGAGGTGAGAAATAGAAGTGGATAGAAAGTGGAGGAGGAGAGAGAAATGGGTTAAGGTTAGGGTCAAACACGGTCAAAAAGGTTTTTAGATGAGTTTTGGAAGCCGGGAGGAGGGATTTTGAAAGCGAGTTCCAAAGAGCATGGACAAAATGCCTGAAAGCTCACTCACCAATTGCAAAACTGATGTATTATTTGGATTACTTCCTGTGTGGACAGAGAATGAGATCCCCGGATCATGATCTGCGTAACTTGGAGTATTAAATTATTGGGTTGACATTGAAACGGCACATACAGTTAGTGCAATTTACATATCTAGCCCATTGTCAGTTACTCCAGAATATAAATATGACCTTGGAACTTTCTTTTTCACTGCAGCCTGGGAGAATTGTTCCCAGGCTGCTGTGAAAATCGTTTGCAAGCTGTTTACTAAGGAAATTATCTATCTCCAAACTAATTTGACAGATTTCAGACTGAACATGTGTAGAAAACTGGGGCTACACTTCTCTCGTCTCCTTTCAGATGTTGCAATAAATGAAACTCATGCATTAAGTTCACTGCATTAACTGAGCGTCTTGAGCTGATTAAAAGGATCACTTTTTTTNAAACTAAGCAAAAATGAACCACTGTAATTGATGCCAAAATTGCTGAACAATTTTCCATTCCATTCCACACAACTCCGCAACGAGTGGAAACTCTTAACAGATTGAGTCATTGATGGAAGTGGAAATGTTGGACAATTCCGCATTCAGTTGGCAAACTAACTCCTGCTAAGTAATCGCAGGGGCTGGATGTCTATATGACTATGTGAGAGACTTTACAAGGCTTACTTTCTAAGCTTAAACAAATTATCTGTTTTTAACAGTAAACTAGACTTTTTCTTTTAAGATTAAAAATAGCTTATGTTTCCTCCTGTGGAATTAGTGCTTGCTCAGTAGCAGGTGGGATTGTAGAACTGATGTATTAATACTGTATACTCAATGCTGCAATACTGGTACTGAGGGAAGCTTGTGCCTATAGTTGGCACTTGAGAAATGTACAGTGCAGACTGTCTGCAGCATTGTGACAACATATTCCCTTTTGGATCCCAGTGCAAAGGGGCCTCACTGAGCGCTTCGCTGAGAAGATCTCACTAACCCTGCATTCCTTCATGATTTGACCACAAACTCCAAACATAATACAGCTGTAGCACTGGAATTGGCCATTGCTACATTTCTGTTTTAACTTTAAACCATTGTTTCTGAACTGATCTCCCCCTCTCTAGTATGAACAGGAAGAGTTTTTAGCACATAAGCATTGTGAAGCATTGAGTCCTAGGTGCAGGCACACAACTTACTGAAGGCTTTGCACCGATAATCCTTTCTCGTGTGTGAGACTAACTGGCACTTGGAGATAATGGGGGGAGGGGGGGGTGAAAATATATTTTTAATGAGTGCGTGAGTAATCCATTAATTTAGCAACAGCTGATCATTATAGAAGATACGTTTAGTGAAAGGAACAATAAAGAGGTGCTGAGGATTACATGTACTGATCACGAGTAGTAATAATAATAATAATGAGACTAATATAGCAGACGATTGTCAGCCATGACACTGGGAGGAACTCCCTGCTGACTCGTACTGAAGTAGTGATGAGCACATGACAGACCCAGGAAGTCAGAGGAAAGGCAGAAGTTAAACAGTTTCCAGATGTGAAAGTTCAGATTTGGCATTTTGCGGATCTACTTTGTGAGAGGACCCAGGTTTGAAATCTACTTTACTTTCAGACCTCTCAACTTTGTGATAAGGCGCTATATCAAATACAAGGATTATTATTATTATTACTGAAAATTTCATTTGAACTGGTTTCTTTCTTTACCTTTGCTGTGTATCACTGTGTGTGTGTGTGTATTAACAAAATATTGTTACTAAAAGCCAGTTTCTTTAATGTGGAAAACCAAAATGTTTTTGGTTTCTTGCTGCCAAGGAATATTTGCTGGGAGCAAACGTGTCTTGGAAACGTAATGCAGGAAAAAGAGAGCTTATCAGCTCCATGATCTCTAAACTGCTTACATTCATTTTGGCACAGTTTGAGTTGCTTTTCAGTTCATCTGACTGCATTGCTGATAGGCTGAATGTTGGTTGATCTGAGCATTTCATATTCATTGTTAGTATCCCTTGAGACTGGACAGAACATTAAACTCAGTTGCATCTGTTTTGTATTAATGATTGACTGACTGACTCCAAGCATAGCAGGGCTTACAGCTGTATGAGGGAGGGGAGCAAGTAACAGATTCAGGCCTGGAGAGAAACGCACTTAGTGCTCAGAGAATAATAAAATGCTAACGTAACCTTATTGTACAAATCTTTTAAAAAATGAAAGCACCCTCAATTCTAATGTCATGTGTTTTCATCAGTTGCTGTGAGTAATTGCTTGTGGTAAGCAGATTCATGTAAATTAATGCATATTATAACAAGAAGCTGCAAATGTGTGCACAATGAAGCGGCGTTTGTTGGACTAGGTGCGGAAGGGAGAGCATTTGATCCTTTCCTGGGGGTTTGCAGGTTCACAGTAAAGCAAAAGCTAGGTCAATGCTAGACTTCATCTCAAACGTAACTAATTAAAAGTTGATGTTTACTCCAAATTTCTATTGCTCGGTGAGGACAGATTTGGATTGCTGACACCTTTGAAGGAGTTTCCTTCACAAGGACATTGAATTGTTGGAGAGGTAGATGAATGCACAACGCTAAGTATGAGGCTGAGCTATGAAGACTGCAGAGCGGATCTGTTTTTATTTGAACAGTGAGGATTGATTAATTTCCTGAAGTTCTTTTGCTTAATTATCTTTTGGGCATTAGGGATTATTGATGCCGAAATGTCCCCTCCTGTCCCCCGTGAATGACGTAGACATTTTTGTTGTCTGCGGAAGGCTTTGATCGCCTAAATGGTGTTTTTCTTATTCTGTGGCATTTTTGATATTTTGATATTCTTGTTTGTTCATGCTGATGTCTTGTGTTTCCTGTTAACCCGTGTCATCTGGTCTCTGACTCAATTGACAACCACATGAATTTCCAATGCATTGTATTTAGCATAAAATTGTTATGGCAGCAGTCCATTCATTGCTTGTTTACCAGAAGTCCCTTTGTTATATGTTAGTTTGGTGCAAAACTACCTGGTGCAAAGGCTGCAATAAGGTTAATTCTGGCAATGTTCCAGTTTCTCTGGGTATAAGGTAAGCCTTGGGGCTTTGAATTTTTAAACTCTATTCCAGTTCACACTGGAATATTCAGGGTCCTGGTCACCAGCCTGACATTGATTCTGAATTATCAAAGAAAGCTACAGTAACTCTTTTGTGAATGTCAAATGTTTTCCAACCATATCAAGCGTGAAATTACCCCTGTGTGGGCACGTGTACGTCCATATATGTGCATGCGACCGTACGCATATATAATATATACATGTGTACATGTGTTTGTGTGTATAAGAGTGTGCTATATTTACATATATCGAGGGTCGCTTGTGGTTTTCAGTATATCTGACCTAATGCTGACCCTGTGCTGTTGAGTGACTTATCTAGAGTAGGGGGGTCTCCAACTGGTCGATTGAGATGGCAAGAAATGGCCCACTGGACACTCGCACCAGGCCAGTCTACACCAAATCAATACCTTGTTTGCAGTAGCTACCGAGCTACGATACCCACAGTGTAGGCATAAAGGAAGAAGAATTCAATAAAGAAAAATGTATTTGGTTGTCTGACCAAAAAGGTGGGCCACCAGAGCCTCCTATCTAATCGTTTCCTCACACGTAATAGTCCTCTGAGATGTTTTCATCTGGTTCTTTCAAGTTTTGGTTTCTTCTGGTTGCTGAATATCACTGCATCTTAGAGCAGATTTGTATTAATTACAAAGGGTATTTTTGTTCTCTTTCAGATTTTAAAAAAACATGAGCTACCCCGGCTACCCCTCAGCACCAGGAGGATACCCTCAAGCCCCAGGTACTGTGACTATTTTACTTAATGCTTTTCATTTAATGATCTGATACACACACTGATTGTACCAACAGACAAATCAAATTGAGAGGTGCCCTTCATTGTTGAGTTTGCATTTGTTTCTTTATCGGAATTAAAGATTTGGGTTTTATTCTCAAACTGGGATGCATATTTAGAATTCTGCCATGTTGGCATTTTGTATTTTTTTTTAATCTTTCAGTACCTGTACAAGTTTTCTCTGGATCCAAGAATTTTTTTTTTGCTTTTTGCTCATTTTCAGGTGGCAATGCCTGGGGTGGCTATCCTACAGGAAATCCTGCAATCCCTCAAACCCTTGGATTGGAAGCCTTTGCAAATGCACATCAACAGTTTAACCCCAATTTGATAACAGGAATGGTAAGCAGCCGCTGTGAAGCTAACTTGTGGGGTGTCTCTTGCTGGAATTCTGATAGTGGCTGAACAAATACCTTTTAAAGCTACAGTAACAGCAACATTTTGTGACCCTGATAAACCAATGCATCAGTTCCAATCTTCTTCCTTGCAAGAGTGTGCAGCTTTAGTGAATATTATTTGGGGTCCTTTGGTTCTGTACACTCAGTGAGTTGGCTGATTGGATACTTCTTTCAGCAGGAGTAAGGGAGTATAGGACAAGTCAACTCTTTTTTTCTCACCTGTCTCCGAATGTGTCTGTGAAATGGGTCACCCGCCTGCTACCTTGGGTCAGGAGTAGGAAGTGGCAAGATTGGTTCTACGTTGATTCTTTTGTTTTTTTAAAAAAAAAGCTTATCTGCACAAGCCTTATTGAAAGTCCTACCCTGGAAACAATGCGCAACGTCTAGATGCTTAAACAGATAGAGAAAATAAACCAGAAACATACTTTCAGATATAGCAAGGCAGCAGTTCAACAAGAATAAATTACATTTGTATAGCGCCTTTCACGTTGTCAGGATGTCCAAAGTGCTAGACAGTCAAGAATGTGCCCCTGAGCTGGGAGTTGGGATCAGGAGGGGTGGAGAGCAGGGATAGTGGGGGTAGGAGTGTGACCAAAGGTGCCGTCTAAGGGAATGGTCTTGAGATGGGCCTTGAAGGAGGCAAGGAAGTGAGGTGAAGGGACTGTGGGTTGCAGTTCGAAAGGTGGCACAGAAATGCTAAAGGTCCAACTGCTGATGATGGGGTGGGCAGCGTGGGGCAAGTGGAGTAGACCACAGAGCCGAGGGAGATCATGTTTACTTTGTGAAGGGCAATATTAGGCCAGTTACCAGAAAATATTTATTTTTGCAGAGTAGTTGGAATGAGTGATCGGGTTGGTTGAAGCTCTGACTCTGGATCCGTTCAGCACCTTGGGATGTCCTCCCGAGGTGAAATGCGCTATATAAATGCAATTTGGTGGTGGTGGTGTTTAAGAACAACTTGATGTTGTAACTGGGGTTAGGGGGCAGGAAGGTAGATTGGTGTTTTGAAAGGATAAAAACAAATGAGCAAAATAGCTTTTTTTTTCCATCTAAACCTCTTGTGATTTAGAACAGCCGCATAATCAAATGTACAGTTATAAATGTGAGAAATTTAAACGTATCTAATTATTTTTTCGATTAACTCTGTTAAATTTTTAAAGTACAAGAAAATCAAAATACTCTTTCATCAAATCAAATAGCCTGAATGTTGATGTTTATATTCTGTCATTGATGCAGGTTCACGACTTGACTAACTCATTTCCCGGCATGTACCCTCCTGGAGGATTTGGGGCACCTCCATATGGGACTTATCCACAAGCTCCAGGAAGTCAGCCTGGTGTACCTGCAAACCATCAAGGCTACCCTGGCTCAACCCCAGGTTACCCATCAGGCCCCCCTCAAGGTTACCCATCAGGGCCCCCTCAAGGTTACCCATCAGGGCCCCCTCAAGGTTACCCATCAGGGCCCCCTCAAGGTTACCCATCGGGCCCCACTCAAGGTTACCCATCGGGCCCCACTCAAGGTTACCCATCGGGTTCCGCTCAAGGTTACCCATCGGGTCCCGCTCAAGGTTACCAATCGGGTCCCGCTCAAGGTTACCCATCCGGCCCCACGCAAGGTTACTCATCGGGTCCCGCTCAAGGTTACCCAACAGGCCCCACTCAATCTTACTCATCAGGCCCTTCTCCAAGTTACCCAACAAACACGGGCTCAACTGTTACCCGTTCCCAAGTTCCATCAAAGGTAAGGAAGATAGCTCGATGTACGAATTAGAGTAATCTTTTAGCAAATATGCGTCAACTACTTACTGCTCAAAAGTAAAATGTCAAAAATAGTTTACATATAAACAGCAACTAATAGACTTAGACTCCAGAAATGATCCACACACATCACAACTAATTGAGCAGAAAGATGGGTTTGGTGCATAGATGGGTTTGGAAGTTTGGAAGCTGTTGGGTAGTGTAGGTTTGGGGACTGTTGGGTGGTAAACAATTAGGGGAGCAAGCATTTGCGCACATGTGTGCGGGAATTGTCTTGTGTCAACATGATGACGGTAATCACTGGCTGGTGTGTAGGTTCAGAAAAAAACCTGTGTCTCAGAACTGAGATTTGCTCTGTCTATTTGTTCCTCCTACCGTGATTGTAGAGAGGGATAAAGTCACTGCTTTTTAAGTCTTTGAAGCATTAAAGGGAAAATATATTATTGCTCAATAATATGATTTGATTATTGATTAATCTGTGACCTTACAACAACTATTATCGTCCAACTTTTCAAAAAATACTTCGCACCTATCTTTCTTTCTCAATGCACTAAACTGTAAATGAACTGACTTGCTACCTACAAACTACGTGAAATAACAAGGAGAGAGACTATCGTAGTGATTTGCTTAATGAGGATCATTGCTAAATATTGTACTGTAAATCACTAACATGCTACATGAACAGCGGAGGTTTGAGTGTGGGAAGCATTCATTTTGGCCTGTTAAAAAAATTTCTTTGGATGTTTTATGCCCAGGTTGACTCAGAATATTATGACCAAGTTGGCTCAGAATATTATGACCAAGTTGGCACAGGATTTGAAGAGAGCTTTAGTGACATGCTTTCTGAGATTTTTCAGGTAACTGCATGAGAGTGTGGTTTGTGACGTGCTGAGGGAATGCCCCATTGAAGAGGATGCCCTGATTTATTCCTATGGGCGTATCAGTAAAGCAAATCCATGCTAGTTCCATTTTTTCTCATCAAATTGACAGGTGGGAAGCCCATAGCAATGAGTTTCTGGAGTTAGGTTTTGTGGTGGAAGGGATTCTCTACCCTTTAGACAATAGCATAACACTGGTTCACCACAGTGCCACCCAGAGTGAAAGGCATGGAGGTGAGCAGTCTGTGTGAGAATCAAAGTTCAATCTAAATAAACCTTGTAATTTTCAAACCCCCTAATCCAGGAGAGAATGTTCTGCTGCACATTATTGAAGGGTGTTTGTGTGCAAGGAACATTGAATTTGCAGCTGAAATGGATTTGGATTCCATTGGCCTAAAATCCTTGTCTTCAATTTGATTTTCATTTCATTTGGGTGGTTAGCGAGTGGGGTGGGGGCAGGATCTCTGAATTCATAGTTCAAATCATCAAAACTGCATTCAACAAATGCCTTCAGAGCTTATCCCTGTTGCGACAGAAGATGAGCCACTTGACTTTTAGGAGAGAATTTTTTTGGGTTGGGGGCGGTAAGGGGGGAAAACAATAATGTGTGCAGGTATTAGATCAGTTCAGAACTGCTTCTTCCTGGCTTTCTCTCTTTTCTTTTTGCTCCACATTCCCCATTGCTGGACATTACTTTTATTGGAAAACGCAGGGTGATGAGTTGATATTGCTTGTTATTGTAGCGCAATTTGCCATTTGGTTCCCTGTTGTACTACTATATCTTGGCTTCCTGTGGTGTTCCTATGTGCGACTTTGGTTTTGGGGCCAATTTTTTTTTTAAAAGCATCATTTCATCTTATTGCTGAATTCACTGTGTATAATGCTGTTCCTCTGCATGGATTGTGGGGGATTCCAGTAAAAAAACTGGATGTTGATTGATGGCATCTAATGAGCTTATCTATGATTCTTGTTGAAATGTTCAAAAGCTTGCAATCAGAATAAGTAAAAACAAAGAAGTTTACAGAGGAAGGAGACAAAATTGGCAAGGCAATTAAAAAGTTTTTTTTAAAAAATAATTAATCGGGTCTGTTTCCAAAGATATTGTTCAGTGAACAATGGAATGTTAATCTAAGCTCAAGAGTCTGCATTCTGATCCGTTTCCTGTTGTAGTCTAATACTCAAAGAATCAGAGTCTCTATAAAATTGGCAAACTCTCTGCAACTTCAATTAATTGACTGTAAATCTTGTGCTATGAACGAACATGTTATCACAAGAATTCTACAGAAAGGCTCCCTTTAATCTCGAGTACAGAAAGCTACTGGCTGTGATTACAGGTGAACAGTATGATTGTGAACTTATTAACGCTATGCAAAATTTGAACAAAATTGAATGAGCATGCAGTGTGAGCTGTGTGGTGGAATCAGCTCAGTGAATTCATAATCAGGATTAGTTTGTTGTTTCTGGCTTGGGTTTGTGACAAGTGAAGCTGTGCCGCAGATGTCAAGATATTCCAGAATTAACCGACCTAGTCAATTAATCCTTCGACTACATGTGAACTAGAGCATTGTTTGTTGACCCATTTGTTGCCTATATTTAAAGCAGTCAACAACGAACATGACATTTTGATGCCTCTGCATAATTAGTGCTGTGGGCACTTTTGTATTTGTATAAACATAGCACTTCTGTTTCTCTTTCAGTTTTTGCATTCCTTACACATATACAAGCCGTGGTTCACAAATGCTGGGCAGGGTTTTCATCTTTAGGGTCTGTGTTTCTCAATACAATATTTCATTTTAAAACCCCACAAGTTGTGTCAGAAATGGGAGTGTCTGTGGCTGCCTTGCTGATCACAAAGGTCCTGGCCTGGTTAGTAGCTTTGATCAACAGAAGATCTCATGCACCAAACTGGAGTTGCACATCCTTATGCTGTAATAATGTGTGTTCATGATTGATGGTAAGACAAAGTAATGACTGGGCAAGTTTGAGATTTAGTGCTTTAATCAGCAACATGCTGTGGAGACATCAGCACTCAGTGTCATCATCATTTCACATCATTGGGGAGGACAAGTTTGCAGGGCTGTGGGAAGAGAGCGGGAGAGTGGGATCGATTTGGATACCTCTTTTAAACGAGCTGGCATAGACCCGATGGGCTGAATGTCCTCCTTCTGTGCTGTATGATTCTAAGATATAATTGTCTGAATACCTACCTCTCAGTGGTGGGAGTGAATGGTGGCTGGCAGGAAGGCACTGATGTATGAGAGAAAATGAATTAACTTGCGTTACTATCTGTTGTTATTTGTGGCATGGTTTGGTTTTAGTTATTTGTCGATGTATACATGAAAGAGAGACAAGGGTATAGAGGGATATGGGAGAGGGCATTTGAACATGTAAAGTATAAACACCGTCACAGACTAGTTTGGGTAAATGGCCTGTTTCTGTGTTGTAACAGTCTATGTGACTGTATGTTGGTTACAGAAATAACTGATTGACAGCTGCTCGAATACCACTATACCCACAAAGCTTTACATCGTGCCCATTCAAAATCTTTATAGGCCTCCCATTCAAATGCATTGGGAGGAAAATGCAAATTAATAAAGGAAACTGAATTAATTCACAAAATGGGTTCCAAGTTCAACACAGTGTTGATTGAACAAACCGAGGTTCTTTTGAATATCACATGAAGTTAATGATATTCTGGGTAAATGTAAAGGTCTGGTGAAGAGGTAAGTTTCTTGTGCTTTGAACTCCATGCCCGACAGACCCAAGATCTTTAATATTTTCTGTTGTTCAGCCTGTGAACAGAGGCAGTGTGAGGGAGGCTGCAGGATTTGATGCGCTGAGAGATGCTGAAGCCCTGAGGAAAGCTATGAAGGGTTTTGGTGAGTGAATTTAACTTAATTAGTGGATTGAGTGGGAGGGGAGGGGGTGACGGGTTTTTTCACTGCTGTCTGTCTTGTCTGTTCCTCGGCCCATCTGTGAACTATAGTGGAGATGCATAAGGAAACATGATGGGGTGGCATCTCATTCTTCTGGAGTCATTTGGGAACATAAGAGCCCTGAAAAACAATTCACTACTGGGACATTTCCAAGCAGATAACTGAGAACCCTAATACTATCTTTGCATCGGTCCCCAAACTAAATTTCAAGGTCCAATACACAAAAGCTGCAACATATTGCAAGAGCACATACAGATAAGGCAATTAAAACAAATTCACAGTAAGTTTTGCTACTTCATTCTTTCTAGGGTGTGATGCAACAAAAATAATGACGAACTTTAAAAAAACTTTTTAAAAAATCTCAAATATTAGCAGATCTAACTTCTCCAAAATTGGATTTATCACTGCATGTGTTTCTTTACATTGGGATGTAATGTAAAAGCACTTGCCCTGTTCACAGCTGGTGACATTTCAAATGAACACGGGTTGAATGGTCTGTGGGTCCTGTTTGCACAATTATAAACCATAATTATACTGTTTTGTAAGACTGTTCTGCTGCGGGCATTGCAGGCGAGCCTATTCTTGTTCCCGTCCAACACCTGCAGTTGTGCATTTCCAGTCATTGGATAGGATCCGAAATGTAATACACTTAGTAACTTTCCTTTCCTGGCCCAGCCTGATGTTGCTGAGGCCAATTTTAGCAGTGCCCGTGTAGATAACTAGCTCACAGCATGGGTGTAGATACCTACGGGTGTCGTGGTTCAGTTTCACTTCAGGCAATCTCTTGCACTGAGCTATCAGGAGAGCAGTCTGTGTGTTTTATAACATTTCAAAATAAACCAAATAAAGTCATAATCCCAACACTTGCAAGCATTTGCATACAACTTGTCGTCTGCTTTTCCTCTTTAATTGCAGATTTAGATTTATCTTCTTCGATTTTGAGTTCCTTCAGTATAAATAGTGAAAGGTACTCAAGATACTTAAGACAGAATTATGGTCTTGGGTTGAATGTAGTTGTTGTGAATAATACCCCACAGATCTCACAATATTGCAGTGACATTTTATTACAGAATGCAGATTGGTTAGCTATATTTTCAGGGATGTTATTATTTCAGTTGCTGTTTTGACTTGAAGCAAAGCCAGTTCTGTAATGTAGGATCTGTGGAATTGTCAGGTTATTTCTGATTGATTTGATCCTCCTGTCCCTTGAAATTGAGTCTCGTAAAATATTAAAGTAATTGTTCTGATCTGTGTGTGTCTCTCTCCTATGTATAGGTACCGATGAGCAAGCTATCACTGATGTTCTTGCAAATCGATCAAATAAGCAAAGACAGCAGATTACGTTGTCCTTCAAAACAGCTTATGGAAAGGTGAGCGTTGCATTCTAGCAGAGATACAGTCATACCTGGAAGCTCCTCCATGGAGTTATCTGCCTCAATCCTCTTTCCTTGCCTTCTTTCCCCTTTATTCAAGTGATTATCAATTCTCTTTTAATTGACAACATCCATTTAAAAAAAATAACAATTTACATTTATAATCAATCCCTTTCTCGTCAGGATGATCTCATGAGGCGCTTCCATGGGTTAACCTCCCATTTAAGGGTCTGTTACAATTGGGAACTTTCCTTAGATTTAAACAATGCACACAATTGGCGCAAGCAAACCATATCCCTTATGAACAACAAATCTTTTTACGCTAAACAGCTGATGTGCTGGGCTACAATATGCAACACTTTTAACAGGATTATTTACCAAGAACACAGGAAGAACATCATGCTGACTTGTAGCATGTCCAGTCTGACACAAAAATAATAATTACATTTGGTAGAGTACCTCTCACATCAGGAAGACCTCTCAAAGTGCTTTGCAGTATTTACTGTAAAATGGTATGATTGTGTATTTTGTGGGCGGACTCTCGTTGAAGCAGAGTTCCCATGGGTTGTCCTGACCTACTTTGTGTTATTGGATGGGTCGACACTCAGATTCCTGGGGAAATTCTTAAATGTGTGGCAATCTGAAGGCAAGGCTGCTCATTTCTTTACCCGTTTTCTGCTTCTACAACAACAGGCAAAGGAGAAAGATTTGGTCACCTGATAAAGCCCTAAGAAATTAAGTCTTGCTTCTATTGCTTGGCTTGGAGTGATTATAGTGTCAGTATGGTATACAGTTGCTGTATCATTATATCATAAAAATCTGTTGCAGTCACCACCATATTTGTTGCTGAATATTTGGGATTTGTTTTTTTTTAATTGTGGATGGGTGAGATTTAATGGGCCAAAGGGCCCTCTTTCATCGGAACCAATCGTGTGATTCTTTCTTCCTGCCACAGGACTTGGTGAAAGAGCTGAAGTCTGAACTATCGGGTAACTTTGAGAAAGCCGTTCTGTCCCTGATTAAGCCATCACTACTTTATGATGCAACTGAATTGAAAGATGCAATAAAGGTGAGTAATGGGCTGAGTGCTGGCATCAAAACACAGATCTACTGCAGGGACTGTAAATCTGCTTTACTTCTGGAGTTGCTCATGTTCCTGTGGAATAAGTTAGACCTATGTTTGATTGACTGGAAACCCTCTGAACATTTTATGACCACAGCCAAAGGGATAGATTTAGTGCTTCCAGTTCCATGCATAGCTAGTTTCTAAAGGAAGTAACTGGTAATGTCAGTCACACCTGACTTTAAAATATTTTCGACAATGTATAAAAAATTCTTCAGGATAATAGTACGTTTTTTATGCACATTTTGGGTTTCTAAGCATTTTTCTCTGTCTTTCTCTCTCCATTTCCCATGAGTTTGATTTTGTGCTGGTTTTAGATTTATTGATGGACTTGGTGTCAGTACCCGTCATTGATCTATCCCTCCTTCATATCTTTGTATCTCTAGCTGATAGAAAAACGATCATAGTTTAGATCTCCGAACTGGCTCTGTACGTCTCCAGTTTCACTGGAGAAAAGCCATGTTAAATTGAGAAGTCCCAGACCAAGAAATTCTGACAGAGGGCCTAGGCTCCACATATAACAGTTTGACCAATTTAAAATCTCTTAACAAGTTTCCTCTTATCTCTATAAAGTATTTTTTCTGAAAAAAACCCAGGAATTGCTGGTGTGTTACTTTTTTTTGTGTTTCCTGCAGGGTGCTGGCACTGATGAACAGTGTCTCATTGAGATCCTTGCATCCCGTTCCAATGCAGAAATCCATGAGATCAACCGGATATACAAAGCAGGTGAAATACTTCCCCATTTCCAGACTAACCTCTCTTATCTCGCCGATGTTCCTATAGATTGGTAGTGTCCACCTGTATTTTCTGGCAAGGTTTCAGACTATCCCTATTTTTCTGCAGGGGTGGTTAGCATTCACTCACATTTCTTCAGATAAGCTTATTTTAGAGGGACAGCATTAGCACAGGCAGTTTGCTGTATTTGCATTTATCAGATTTGTGACAAATTCAGTATAAAAGCAAAGTGGCAAAGTTTGTACAGCAGCCTCTCTTGCTGTTAAACCTTTCTTGGTTAGGAAGTCCCTGGTGTATACTGAGTGGTGGGGTGGAGGTAGAGTTACCCTAGGTTAGGAAATAAAAAATGTTGCTATACTTTCAGATATACGATCTGATGAATCAGTCCTGGGAAGTATGGACAACGGTTGATATTGCATAGAGCTTGGCTGTAAAATTCTCTTATCTTCCCCCCCCCCCACCCAAGTGAACTTGAACTCAGAAGAGGAAGGGAGGAAATTGGAGAGGGAACAAACCATTTTTAATATGTACCGTATGTGGTATGGGAGTCTGAGGTTATTTCCTCCTTCCTGCCTGACTACTCCGTAATACATGAACCTTTGAGGAATCAATTTTGTTTACATGAAGAGGTTTGAAACTCTGGTTTCCTGATGGATTCTCTGACCACTGTAATCCAGTGCTTCAGTAATACCATTGAGCTTCAGCTGGGGGTTGCATTCTTTTAGATATACTTACTTTGGAATACTTTCAATGATGGTACAGAAATCCATTGAGTGGCATCTGTGTAACTGGCTTCCAATGCACACATTGATGTGTGTACACAAACTGTCTTCAGCGAAACAGTCTGCTGTCCTCCCACTCGTGTTTGCTCAATCGCTAAAACCAGACTGTTTCCAATGACAACAGCGATGTCTTGTTCACTTCCACTTCCTGATCTCCAAGTGAAACTATATCGTCAGCAGCTGAATTTGTGATCACAAAGAGGCTCCTGATCAGAGGTTTAGAAAACTAATTTTATTTTTAGGCTGTGACCTATTTAGGGCCAAAGAGATGGGACCATAATGGTCTTCCAGTCTCGTCACTTTGGTGCCAAACCTTATAGGTCGGATATTCATCCGGTGATCAGATTAGATTATGTTGTGAGCAAAGGTTTCCAATGCCAACTGCGAGGAGATGCTGGACATCCGTCTGCTCCCTCCCTGTCACCCCCTCCCACCCCATACCCTACCCATACCTCGTTCCACACCTTCGAACCTGTCTCTCAACACCACTCTAACCTGCATGAAACTGACCATCTGCTCCTTCGATCCCATCCCAATCCCTCTCCTTACCTCCCAGCTCCACCTCCTTGGCCCTTTACTCACAGACATCTGTCCACTGGTACTGTTCCCACTGCATTAAAAATGGCTGTCATCACTCCTGTACTTAAGAAACCCTCCCTGGACCTCTCTCTGCTCTCAAACTACTGCCCCATCTCCAACCTCCCTTTCCTCTCCAAGGTGCTGGAATGAGTTGTTGCTTCCCAGCTTTGCTCCTTCCTCTCCCGCCAATCCCTCCAATCGGGTTTCTGTGGCGCTCACAGCACAGAAACAGCCCTGGTCAAAGTGACAGATGACGTTCTGTTCATCTGTGACCAGAGCTCCCTCTGCCTCCTCGTTCTCCTTGACCTCTCTGATGCCTTCGATACCGTCGACTACTCTAACCTCATCCACTGTCTCTTCTCTCAGCTCAACCTTCACGGCTCTTTCCCTGACTAGTTCAAATCATACCTCTCACATAGCCTCAACTTCACCTCCACAAACTGTTTCTCCTCTAGCCCCCGCACCATCTCATGCAGCGTTCCTCAGGGCTCTGTCCTTGGTCCCCTCCTCTTCAATACCTATATGCTCCCCCTTGGTGACATCATCCACAGACATGGGGTCAACTTCCATATGTATGCAGATGACACCCAACTGTGCCTCTTTGCCTCCACCCTTGACTCCAGGACCACTGCTGTCCTGATAGAATGTCTGTCAGACATCAAGTCCTGGATGAGAGCTAATTTTCTTCAGTTGAATGTCAACAAGACCGAGGCTCTCCTGATTGGCTCCCATCAGCGACTCCTCACATCAGGCGCTGATAGCATCACCATCCATGGTTGCACACTCCACCTTACTAAGCCAGTCTGGAATCTTGGCGTCTTGTTTGACCCTCAACTATCCTTTCTAACCCACATCTGTGCCATGACCCACTCTGCCTTTCCCCACCTCCACAACATCACCCGACTCCACCACTGTCTCACACCGCAGGCTGCCGAAACCCTCATACAGGCTTTCATTACATCGAGGCTTGACTTTGCAAACTACTGGCTTGTCGGCTTCACCAACTCCTCCTTCCATAGGCTGCAGATCAACCAGAACTCTGCAGCCCATATCCTCTCCTGCACCAGGCTCCATGACCCTATCATCCCCATCCTCACCCACTCCACTGGCTTCCCATTACACAGAGGATACAGTTCAAGATCTTGGTCCTCACCTTTAAGCCCTGCATGGTCTTGCTCCCCCCTACCTCTGTGACCTCCTAACGCCTCACAATCCTGCTTGCTTCCTCCACTCAGTGGGCTCCAGCCTGCTTCACGTCCCCCACCTCGCTTGCCCCACTGTGCCCCCACCCTCTGGAACTCTATCCCGCAGTCCCTCCGCCTCACCCCTTGTCTCCTTCAAGACCTATCTCAAGATCTTCCTCTTTGCCTGTGCTATCGATCACCCTACTGTCCTCCACCCTCCCCAATCCCGACTCCCAGCTCGGGTCCAAAACTCTGACTGTCCAGCACCTTGGGACATCCTCCCGATGTGAAAGGCCCTATACAAATGTAATTTTGCTGTTGTTTATTCCATCCTCTATTGAACATGGTGAATAGTCTTGTGGTACAGTGGAAACCTTGTCTTATGTGACTCATTCATATTTGAGTCGAGACAGAGAGTTTCAGTAGGGCCTCACCCTACTGTAGAGGTGGTCATAGCTGAACCCAACCCCATCTTCTCCCTGCATCTCACGATGTCTGTATCTGGATAGTGATCAATACTGGGATCCAGCTGATTGTGTCTGCATGAAGCATTGTGGCTAACTATATATGTCTGGAATACCGTATGTAAGTGGTTATGTGATGTGACACTTATCAGGTCCTTTGGTTTGCAGAGTTCAAGAAGACATTGGAGGAAGATATCAAGAGCGACACGTCAGGCCACTTTGAGAGGCTGCTTGTCTCCCTTACACAAGTACAGTAATAGTGAAGTGTGCTGAAGCTAATTGGTTCAATCCAATTGTATCTAGAGTCCTTGTGCTCGTGTACACCTCGCTCAGAACTTGTTGTGGTTGAAATTGGCTCTTATGCCGAGTATGGTTAGCACCAGCAGCGCTTAGTGCTTTCCCAATGAGCTATCCTTTATGTATAAGTCTGAACATTGAGGGTCAGGAGGTTGTATGATTATGGGGAGCATCAATCCTGAGTCTGATCTTACCTAACCGCCCACACTTCAGCATCAGCGCTGGGAGTCACTGGATGGTAATTGTATCTGGGAATCATAGTTGACATTCCTCTTTCTACCCTTGTTTACCCCGCCTGAGATTAGCTAATTCAGCACACTCTGGGAATTGAACCTAAAACCTTCTAGAGGGTATGGCTCGGCGCTCCACTGGGCGCTTTAAACCAGTAGAGGAACAGAGCAGTACATTCAAATGACCTTCTTATCTGTCTGAACCAGGCTCTTGAAGGTGTTTATGAGGGGCCTGGGAAGGGCCAGATTGTCCCCTTCATCCTTATCTTGCTACATTATCCTAACTGGATTATTCACTCCCACCGAGGATTATTCGCCTGTTGAGTCATTATGTCCATGAACTTTGAGCCTGTAATTCTAATTCTCTGCCTTTTCTCCATATCCTTTAATATGCTTACTTTATCCTATGATCTTCTGAGGTGGTCTGATGGACAAGTGTTATTAAACCTGGGAAGAGTAGGGATAGGGCACTAGAGAAATGGACGTCATGTGGACAAATAAGTCGTGGTTGTAAATTGTTTTATTTCTTTAGGGTAACCGAGATGAAAGCCAAAATGTGGATATAACTCTTGTTAAAAAGGATGCACAGGTTAGTAAAAAAAATAAGCTGCCATTGTGTACTTGCTTTCCTTTGTCTTACTATGTAGCAAAATGATTGTGCAAGTTTGCACGCTGAGCTTAAAGCAAGAACTTTTTGAGACTCTTGGTAACACCTTTAAGCAGCTGGTGTCCCAAGATAAAAGTTAATAATAATCCTTGCGTTTGATATAGCGCATTATCACATCTTTGAGAGATCTCAAAGAGCTTCACAGAATATACTGTAAAGTTAAGGCCTGATCGTGGATGGCCTTGCTTAAGAGAAGCTGTTTTGAAATGAAACCTTATGGTGCTGCAGTAAAGATGCTTTCGAATCACTGATAGGGTGGAACCACTTGAAACCCTGCCAAGTGACATACTGTTAATTGGCAGCATAGTGCTTAGCAACTTCAGATCTGCTTTAAATCTGTCTCGTTGCAATGCTGCATTTGAGAATAATTTATGAGCTTTGTAATAATAACTATTTTTGTTTGATACTTGAGAGCAATCTGTACTGTAAATAAAAGAATCTGAAATGGAGGAATCAAAAAGTTAATCCAAAGAGCAGTCTGTTACAGAGTGGCGTGATACGCAGGAAGTCTTGTTAATTAAGTTGCCTCAGAGACCTGCAGTCAGACACTCCCTAGTTACTCCCATTGTGTGTGCAGCCAGAGCTTTCCATGCAATGCCTGAAACCTGACACGCACATATTCGGATATACTTGCTTATTTTCACCTAACTTTATTTTAGAAAATTCCTCCTGGCTAATGGTAGAATTTAACGCCCATTAAAGTAACATGTCATAGCATCTAGAATTCGGCAAATTCTTAAATCCAAACTTAATTTTGAAACCATTTTTCTTTAAGGTCTTTTAAGAAAAACAGCTTTAAATTTGAGGCTGAAATTCAACAATTTGCCAGATTCTAGACACCAGAAAATACTAAGTTAATAGGGCACACATAAAGCCAGGTGGAATTTTACTCCATGTATCTTTTATTACGGATATGAAATAGTTCAGCTGAGACACGCAATGTTTGGGAAGAAGTGGTTTGACAAAGTCTTGCTTTGTTTGCAAGCACAGAACGCAATGACGAAAATAGCACTGAGGCATGTACTTTTACTATTTGCGTGTGACGTTATCGTGATGAGCTTAATACGCAGCTGTTCTGTCCCTCTGTCTCACACAAGAAAACAAGTTGAAAACATTTTGAATTCCCCCACAACCCCACATTTGCATACTCCCATTTAAATTCGAATATTCAAGATCGATAGATCTTTTTAAGATAATAGGACTTTTAAATGAAGCAAGTCTCGGCATTCAGTGATCGACTTTTTCTCTCTGAACATGACTGACTTGTATTTTCTTTGCTAACACTCAGGATTTGTACACCGCTGGAGAGGGCCGCATGGGAACAGACGAATCTCGCTTTAATGCCATCCTGTGTGCCAGGAGTAGACCTCACCTGAAAGCAGGTAAAGCAACCTGACAATGTTGTTCATTGCTGCTGTGAAATCGCTGCTAAAGTTGGAGTTTCACTGAACTTAAAATACAAAACACAATTGTGGAAAATTCCCAATTTGGATTTTGATTTGGAAGCCGAGAGAGAACAGTAATTAGCTCAATCTGGTGACTTCCAAAGTTACATAACACACAGACACTCGCAGTTCATATGAAGAATGGTCACTTGGGCAATGATGCTGTGAGAACTGCTGGCACTTGTGGAAACTTACCCCAGTACAAGTTGCTATTTTCAGGAGAATTTTTTTTCCCCTGTTTCTGTTGTGGAAATGTCAGCTGTATATCCTGAAGCTTATTTGCGCAACCTTCATTTTGAATCCTGGACTTTGCTTGGCAAAGCCAATGGGGCTGAAAAGCATGAAGGGAGAGCCCGATCAGCAGCACTACCTATTGATTTATTAAACTGTGACTCCTGCACAACTCTCAGCAGACAGTTCAAGCCTAGCACTGGTAGAACTTGCCAATGGCTTACCTGCCTGCCTGATGGCTTGAGGAAGTAGCCTTGAGGAGACACCCAGAAGGAGGGCAAATGATTGATTGAGACCTCTTCTCTGGAAATCCAGCCAGTACCAGTCTTTAGACAGTTAATTGCGCTTCATAAACCGTGAGCATATAATTTCTTTTTAGCTGTGAGTAAATGTTCTCATTTCTGTTTCAGTGTTTGAGGAGTATCGTCAGATCTGTAAACATGACATTGAGAAAAGCATCTGCCGTGAGATGTCTGGAAACCTGGAGAGGGGCATGGTGGCAGTGGGTGAGATATGCTTCTTAACGTTTCTCATACTTTGAGGAGTGTTCCTATTGAATGCTCTCACTTGTGTAATTTTGATTGAATCTCAGTCTTTGCAGGAATCTCATGAGCTGGAGCCCAGGAAGAGTATTTGATTTTTACTTGCGACTGAAGTCTTCTTTAAAATCAAAATTGATCCATTTGACATAATTTTAGAATATGAATGTGTGTGTGAGAAAGAGAGAGAGAGAGACCAAGGGAGGGCCACAGATGGATGTATACAGAAAGCTGACAGAAATATGTTGGCATGTCATGTGTAGACCCCGGGTAATGGTGTTTCCTCGTGTTTCCTTTTCTGATGCTGTCTGGATTTTCAGTCGTGATCCGGTAGAGTTGGGTACAGTTGTCTTTCTAATTGTCGTCGCTTGTGTGTTTATTTTGTGTCTGTGTGCCTGGCAACTTTAAAAGGCATATTGTCTTCATGGAAAAGTACATGATCAGCCGTTGGCTTCACTTGCAGGTGGCATTCATCTCCCTGTCCATCTTCAAAACAAAGGGGACGAAATGATGCTTCAGCTGCATATAGCGTTAGTCAGACCCCATCTGGAGACTGCGTTCAGTTTTGGTACCACACCTCAGGAAAGATATATTGGCCCAGAAGGGGTGCAGCACAGGCTCACCAGAATGTTACTAGATCTAAAATGGGACAACTTACAAGGAAAGACTGCGTAAACTTGGATTGTATTCCCTTGAGTTTAGAAGGTTGAGGGGTGATTTGATTCAGGTATTTAAAATGATAAAGGGATTTGATAGGATAGATATGGAGAAGCTATTTCCTCTGCTGGGGGAATCCAGAACAAGAGGGTGTAGTGTTAAAAATTTGAACCTGGCCATTTAAGAGTGAAATCAAGAAGCATTTTTTCACTCAAAGGGTGGTAGAAATCTGGAATTCTCTCCCCCGAAAGGCCATGGATGCTGGATCCATCCACACAGTCAAGAAAGAGATTGATAGATTTTTGGTAGGTCGGAGTATTAAGGGATATGGGGAGAAAGCGGGAAATTGGAATTTAATTAAATTGCAGAACAGGCTCAAAGGGCTGAACGGGCTCTGCCTGTTCCTATGTTCAAATGCTTTTCCATGAAACAGTAGCCCTTTAATATTCCAGTAGGTGTGCCTAGTGTGGTTTTCAACCCTTTTGATTTATTGTTTGAAGTGGATTCATGGTGTACTCCAGTTTATCTGCTCAGAGCCGCATGGTTATCCAGTGTGCTGCTCCACCACAATAATAATAATAATCCCTGCAAAACAAAACAATAATAAATTGGTCATTTTCAATCCACGACTGTTTGTGGGACACTGCTGTGCGCAATTGGCTGCCGCGTTTCGCCCACAAATATACAGTCAATTCACTTTACAGTCTATTCTGTGAAGCGCTTTGAGATGTCGAGAAGACGTGAAAAGCGCTATATCAAATTCAAGGATTATTATTATTATGATGCGACTCATGAATTGTCATTCCACGTCTGAATTTAATTATCTCCATCAAATGTTTTTAACAGAACATGTCCTTAGTTAACCTGTGGCTAGATTTTGAAATCTGTGTTTGTAGTTTTTTAAAAAAAAAATCTTTTTCATATACAGTATTTCTTTACCCCTCTTACTACTTTTCTGCTTTCCTGGAATTATGTTTTCTCCTGCTGCTGTGGCACAGTTGTCAGACCACCCACTGTACCTCTTATGTGATGCTTAGCTGGCAATCCCATCACTGTGGCAGCACAGCTAAGTCTGAGCTTGTCCACATATGTCTACTCCCAGCAGGGGCAGCAAGTTAGCAATCGGGAGTGATAACCTGCCTGCTTTTTCCCCAGGGCCAGAGAAGTTTTGTAAAGAGCTCCCTTTCACTCTCACATTCTTAAATTCTGAGGCAAAATGATTTTACAGGTTCAGATTGATGGAAATGATGATGTCTTTTGTAAACTCAGCGTAGACCAGAGACTGAAACTGGACCTGGAATCTTATGCTCTGGCTGGCTCAGCTATTCACGGAAGAAACTCAGAGTTGTCAGTGTCCTCCATCTCTGTGCATTGGAACATAATGTGTCTGTTTCCCCTCAACTTGGCCAGTTTTAAATGGATGAAAGTAAGCTCATAGCATTGAGCTTTCTGTACCCCAGGCCTGCAGAAGGCTCTGCTCATCAGTGTGCACTTGTGACCAGTCCCTGTGCTCAGATTGACTAGATGGCTCATTGGTAGACAACCATCCCCTCACCCAAAAGAAACAATGGAACATGCAGCACATCACATGGGTCATACGGTCGCCACCTGTTACCCTGCACACGTACACATGAGTACATCATGCGTGTGGAGCGGGCAGACATCCTCTCCAGGATAATCTTTACCACCCAGGAGTCAGCCACTCGTTGTTCAAAATAATAGGGTTTTTATATTATTTACCCCGATCTGGAGAAAATTTGGAAAACTCCAGGAATATGTTTTTTTAGCAATTTTTTTAAAGTCTGAATCCCACGAGCCGATGGGTGAATTGCTAGTCCCCAGCTCCATCTAGTGGCTTGAGACTGGATTTGCTTCTAGCTGGAGTGATCTTGATTTTGAACTGTAATCGGTTGTTCAGACAAATGAGATCCCAGGCTTGTTTCCTGTTCTATGCAACGTTAGCAGATCTCGGTTGGGATGAGCATTTGAAGTGAATCGTGTGTCCGTTTTTCCAATCTGTGTCCATATATCAGCAAATAGCTGCCACCATGCACATGTGTTCTTGAACTTTGAAAACACAGAATGCAGGCAACCAGTTTTAGGTAAAATAACACACAAAAATGAAATCCCAATTTTTACAACACTTGCAATTTTATATGATTTAAAAAAAGATGGCGATGGGAAGTGACTTCACTTAATTAGTCATTAAAGAGAAGACACTGTAAACCAGAACAGAAGGGAATATTTCTTTTTCCTTCTCGTGGAAGAACGAGGGGCTCCATAAGCATTATTTGTCACCAGACTGCATCATCCTATGGGGTGAATTAGGATCCGTGACTAGTTTGATTGAGCACTAGATTGCCAGTAAAAAAAATAAAACCACAAGCTCCCTATTAGCACTGAACAAGAGAGGACATGTAAATTTCTCCAAAATATGATTGGAAGGAAATGACTGTCTTGGAAGCCAGTCAAATAATCCAGGCCGGCTCTTCAGATTTTAATAAATAAGATGCAGTCTTCAATGGGTCTTTTTATAATGTACATCATTGCCATTTAAGGTTTTTGTCTTTTCCAAGCAGGCTAGCTTAAAGTTGCAGTCAAGGTTTTGATAGAAGAAAGCGATTGTGCAGGGCAGAGAGTTGTATAGGAAGAGAATATAATTGGTGAGCACAAAGTGGCTGAAAATTTATCTACCGAAGGTGGGACGGCGGATGTGAAGATGTACTGTGAGATGCCATGTGGTGTGATTATTTCTTGAGAAGGACATATTCAGCTGGGGGTGACACTGATAATTATCAACATAATCCACATGTGTTGTACATGATAAAGTATTTTTCAGCAGGGAGCCAAACTTGGAGAATTTGAAATTGTATCGCTGGGATCCTGTTTGATTATTGAAATCTGAATGGGAAGGATGTAGTATTTCCTTTCACATTTTGTCCTGGCATCTGCAGGAAAACTAGAATTGTTGATACTTGTAATTTAAATCCGGTTTGGATATAAGGTTAAGTGAAACATTTCTATTCAGTTGTTTGAGATGATTGTGAACTGAATTGGCGGAGATATATGTATATATACACAAGATATATACATATCATATATATATATTTACCCATGTTCTACTATTCCATGGTGTTGTGCTCCATCTTTATATCTATCTGCCCTTGAGCACCAGTTCAGTTTAACCATTTTGTTCTCCTCAACTGTGTGCAAAATCATTCGTGAAGTGTTTTGATGTGTTTGACAATTCTTCACTTCTTCCCAGTGTTAAACTCAATCTCTTGTTATATATTCCATTACTGTTTATAAATGGTCCATAAGATCAGCATTAATTCCATATGAGACACCCCTCACATACAAGTCTCTTCTTGTATTGGTTAAAAAGGAACCATTTGTGAATGTCCTGTGCATAATTTGTTTGCTGGCAACAAATAATATGATATGTTCTATTCACAGTGAAATGTCTCCGGAATACTCCTGCCTTCTTTGCTGAGAGACTCTACAAGTCCATGAAGGTAAAAGCTGACTTGGTGCAGTGTGTTCTGTTACTCTTTTTGGTCAGATGTGGGGTGTGACCAGTAAGTATCTGATCCAAGCTTGAACCCCATCCGAGACTGAAATACAATATACATTTACATAGTGGCTTTTATGTCAGGAGGACATCCTAATCCTGGCTTGGTATCCAAGCTGAGGATGGGGAGGGGAACAATGACCAAAGATGCGGTGAAAGAGGTAGGTCTTGAGACAGACCTTGAATGAGGTGAGGGAGGGAGGGAGTCAGAGAAACTCTGGGATGGAGTTCCAGAGAGTGGGGGCAGAGAGGCCGAAAGCCTTTTTCTTCACATCTATTCTGTTTCAAAAAAAGAACGATTGCTATTAGGACATAGTGCAGAGACTTTACTTTGTCTGTATGCACTGCATGTTAATGTGCCAGGGATTTAAAATGTCAACCTTTAAAATACAGTAACTAAACTGTGAAAGAACCATAAAATGTTAAAACAGATTATTTTTTACAAAGAAGCATATAATTTGGTTATTTTTATAAAATGTATATATTTTTATCCCTGTGATGAGCACTGACCCATTGTACTGCACCTCTGTGAATACAGTAAACTCCTTTGAAACTGAAAATTCCTTGACGCTATAAGTCAATAATATCATCCTTAGTGGTGCTCACCTCAACAACATTTGTAAAGCACCTTTCACCTCGGGAAGACTTCTCAAGGTGCTGAACAGTCAGGGATTCAGAAAAGTCCTAGAGACACTGATTCAGTTCCTTTCAGCTACGATGTATGGGCACACAAGGAGTGGAAAACTGCTGTGCCTTTATGCAAAAATGTATTTTTTAGTCTGCATCTACAAGGATCTTTCCCTTCACCACCCACTTGATTGCCAACCCTACTCAGGTGCCAAGCCTGGACTTGTAAGGGCCTTGGGATACTATATAAATTTAATTTGTATTGTGTATAAACAAGGCATTAATTGTGCATGAAATATTGCAGGAAAGAACCGTCTGTTCTGGATTAATTATGCAACTATAACACAAGCATTCAGCGTCTTCGAGGCTAAGGACATACCATTGTGCCTTTTAGAAGAAGCCCGGTAATAGTAGCTTGCAAAAGGACAAAGCACAGCTAAGAAAAGAAATCGGAGTAGGGTTTGGAAAATGAGCTCAAGTATTTGTTGAAGATAATGGGAAAGAAAGGTTAAAAGTTTTTATTAAAGGACCTACTCAAATGTAAAGCTTTCTTTCCTCTCTAGGGTATGGGCACGGATGACAGAACTTTGGTTAGAATCATGGTGTCTCGCTGTGAGGTTGACATGCTGGATATCAGAGCTGAATTCAAGAAGCTTTACGGGAAGTCACTGTACACCTTCATCTCGGTAACTATCGCACTGCAGCGCTGTCTGATGTATGGCTGGGTGAAAAGTCCAGAGCAATTCAACCATGTCTCCCCCACACCATGTCTCACAATCTTCTGTTTGCTGGAACTATTTTTGTTACCGAAGTTAACTCTTATTTCTCCTCCAACCCCTTTTCACGAACCTTCACCAAAGCCCCTTTGGGGTAGCCACACTAAGAGATTTGAGGCAGCTTTCTGGCAATTGTCTCCAGTAGAGCACCTGAAATTGGGAGCTCAGCAACATGCCGGGGCAGAGAAATTAGGTCCGAGTCCACCCGTTTCGTCAACCTCCCCCGCCCCATCCCCAACGTTGTGATTAGAACTACTTCTCACCTTCCAATATGATATGGTTGTTTCTTCAAAATCTTGGATCTTTCTGGTCTACTGCTCAGTTTGCATCAGGCAATGGTTTTACTTGCTAATGTCTTAATCTGTTTTTAAAGGTAGCAATAAATGTTGTGCATCTTCGTGCCTGTGTTTTTTTTCCCCAAAAAAACTTCCAAATGTAAAATTGCACCCACGCGCCGAAGCTTGTCTTGTAATCCCAAGCTTCCCGATGACTTATTGTGTCGTAAATGTTGGTGTATATTCTTTTTTGCGGGGAGGGCACAGGGGGGGTTGCCTGCATTAGTGCTTTAACTGTGCAGCCTGTGGAGAACCAAACTGATGTACCTTGTGGTTAATAATCTTTTTGTGCCTTTGTTGCCAGGGTGACACCTCCGGAGATTACAAGAAGCTCCTGCTGCAGCTGTGCGGGGGCAATGACTAAGGAGACGGAGAGTCCAAAACGCCTTTGCAAGAACAGCTTGTTCCATCAAAGCATTTTGTGTTCTTTTATCAGTTTTGTATCTGCTTGTAAATGTAATTCTGTTTATCTGCCTATTGCAATTCATTGTTTTTAATCAGATATTTTTCCTTTTTGCCTTTTTGCCTGCCAAAGAAAAAGTTTCATCTCTCCACCCAATAATATTGCATTGGTATTTCTGAGTATTAAAAAAAATCTACCCAGCGTAAAGCAAACGTATGCAGATGATTCAGTAGCTTAGATGCCAAATGGCAAAATGCTCAATTTAGGGGAGCTGAAAGTCCGATGAGCAAGAGGCTGATGTTTGCTTGGTTTTCAAAGCAAATGACACCGTTACAGTAAAATTGTTTGTGGCCACTTTGTCTTGTGAAGAGATCCAATATAACCTGTGACGTTGTTCGCATTCAATGAAAAAGAAATGTTTGCAGAATTTCTTTTACATTCCAATGCAAACGTGGAAATGAATCTGAAAGATTTTATTTTAAAATAAGTCTTCATTGGGTTGCTGGTTTCAGAATGGGGTTGTGCTCACATCAGGAATATCCTTTCAATGCTCACCCGCAGCGATAGCATAGATTTAGGTGCCAATTACAATATTTCTTTACTAGAGTGCATTTAAGATTCGACTTCCTGACCAAAGAATCCCATGAGTGACCCTTATTCTGCTGGGTTTTATCTGAAGCAATCGGAAAAGGAGCGGATTAGGTGCCTGGCAGTTGCCATGTTGCACAACTGGTAGTGAATATGAGGTATCTTAGGCCATCTGACTCCATATCTGGCAGGTTTATTGGTGGCTGAATGCATTGTAGAGGTGTAGCAATCGTTTACAGCCTCAAACTCCTGCTTATGAGGTGAGAGCTTATGAAGGAAGAAGAATAAGGGTATTGTACTAAAATTGTTCAAAGAATAAAAATAAAACTTACAAAACCTCTATATTATTGTACTGTTTGATCTCAAGTTTGCTATAAAATTTTAAAACCTAAACTATTTCTTACTTATTTATCTCTATATTTGTCTGTCCACTTTCTTTTCACTTCATGGCTGGTTGTGGAGCATTGCTGTGCACAAATTGGCTGCTGTATTTACCTACAAAATACAAAGACTTTACACTTCACAGTTGTGCAAAAGCCACTCAAGACAATCTGCTCCCCTTGGCAAAACTTCAGTGTACCCACCCTCCTACCTCCATAGAAGTTCAATAGCTTTAGCTTTAACTTAAGGAGAGATAAATTTAGCTTAAAGCACCTACAGACCGCAGCTGACAGTAGCATGCAGCACTTGCTGTAGAGCTGCCCATCTCAATTTCACAAGTGGAGCATTAAAAGAAATTGCTTCTCCCAGAATTCTGCTGCCCTAGGCAGCTGCCTACTTTGCCTTTAGCTAAAATGGTCCCTGCAGTCTTGTGTCAGCCTTCTTCATTTGGTAGCTCTCTCGCTTCTGAATCGGAGGCTGTGGGTTCAAATCCCATGTTGGTTCTTGGAACTCATAGTCAAAGCTGACACTCCAATTAGGGGTGTGTTGCATTGTCGGAGATGCCATCCTTCAGATGAGATGTTAAACTGAGGTCGTGCCTGTCTGTTCAGGTGGACATTAAAGATCCCATTGCACTTTTAAAAGAGAAGGGAGTTCTCCCGGTGTCCTAGCCAACAATCCCCTAAATAAGATTGGCCATTCACTTGATGGGTGTTTGTGGGACTGCTGTATGCATTTTGGCTGCAGCATTTGCCCACAAAACATGGTTACTGAACTTTACAGTATACCTTGTGAAGCGCCTTGGGTTGTCCTGACATAATAGGCTTGTTTTACTATTCTTATTGGAAGCATACAGTCTTAAATGTTCTTAGCTTTCATACATATTCTGAACATAATATTGATACACTCCTGAGCAACTCCATATTTTAAAAATCAATTTTTAAAAAAAGGAATCTAGCAAATTGGTTCTTTACTCACTTATTGAGTTGCAGGAACAAAATGTGTAAAATATTTGCTTTGTGTCTGGCTTTATATTTTCCTTCTGTTTCTCTCTTGGAAATTTTTATGCAGTACTACACTACCCAGTTAGGTTAAGTTTCACCATCCACAGAAGAGCTATTTCCATTCTCTGCAGTGCAGTGTTATTTTCAAATAAAAATGCAGAATAAGGCTGATGCTGGAAGATAGACATTTTCCCTAAGTATTACCACGTTTAGATGTATCCTTTGTTCCCCACATACATCTTTTGGCATCATTTAAACCTTTCATTTTTTTATCAATATAAAAAATTTTTTACTCTAAACCTATCGCCCTGCGGACTGAACCTGACCTTAACCATGCTGTCAAATGAAGCTGGCAGAAGTAACACAGAAGACTGAAAGCAGCTTTTATGGGACCTCACTAATACTGGTCTACGTTCCCATGACATTGAACTGCGCTAATGCTGACAGGAAATGAAAGTATATTTTATATAGATGCTAAGCTTCACTCTGTGTCTACGTCCGCACAAAATATACTGTTGTTAGACGATTAACTTCATATCTACTATGTATTTCTTATTACTTGAGGAGTAATGATAATTAACTGTACTGAATCATTAAACAAATGGTAGGCATTCTTCTGAGTTTGTGAAAGGTGCTTTCAATTAATGTAATGAAGGTTTTTTTTCCATCTGCAAAGGTGGCGTCTAAATATTGCTGCTGCTCGATCAAGCTGCTGGCATTTCTACTGGTTCCATTGCTCAAAGTTGCAGCAACAGTACTGCATATACTATTCCCCCCAACCACTCCAATCCATGTGAATGTGAAGTAGTTGCAAGAGGAACAGTTTTTTCACAGTGCCTGTAATTGCCACTGTATGTCAAGCTCTTTAACTGCTCATCACTGATTTGGTCAATAAGCTTCACACTGTAAGGATCCAGGTTACAGATGGGGAACATTTGACAGATTGACACCCGGTTCGCTGCTAAAGCGATTGGGTAAGGAGGAGTGGCATTTTTGTGATCAACTGGGCGATTGATAAATGGAGAAACCCTTCACTATGCTGAAGCATATCAACCCAAACTAAGAGTTCCTTGTATGCTACCTATAAATGGACATTTCCATATCTGGAATTAAATGCACACTCACTCCCTGGAAAAATGTGCCTTGTTCACCTAATTCCGGAGAGTATTAGGTGCAGGTAGCAAGAGCTAAGGCTTGGGGACCCCCACAATGTGCATTGGGGGTACTGCTGGAGTCTAACCACATTCTTTAGACTGCTTCTCAACAGCAGTTACAGACCATGAGATTTAGCGCTGTGTGGGTCTGAGTAAATCAGCAGTGCTCTTTCGGTGCTCCTACAAATTATGAGGTGTTGTCTGTTACTCAGCACCAGTGCAGCTTGCACGGCTGGACGTGTGGGCTTTCACGTAGCGATGAGACACAAGAGACGTGTTTGCACGTTTAAATGCACCGTATACGTTTATATATAAGGTGGAGTCTAAGCGCTCTGAGACGCTTCCCTGCGCCACACAAGTGCCAGTTGTCGCTGCATGTTATTTCTGGGGTTTACCCGCAAAACACACAGTCACTCCACTTCACAGTGACATCTTCGAGACGCGCGTCTCTGACGCGAAAGGCGGACACCAAACACGAGGATTATTATTTGGTCATCATTGCATCGTTAGCTACTTCGCGCAACTCAACGCGACTTCCCTCTCGGCTTTGGCACGAAGTATGGCGTTTGGGCGAACCCTGGGAGCGGAACCGGTGATTTGAACAGATGGCGGGAAATCACAGTGTGGGGTTCAGATCAGAGCCGACAGCAGCCACTGTGCAGAGTGTGGGGGACGCTCAGCCTCGGCACCGCAGCCGAGGGCCGGCAGGTGGCGCTGTGGCCGGAGGGGGAGCGACAACGCGTGGCCAGGGAGAGGAGGACAGGAGAGGCCCGGCCAGGGGCGGGTGGCGTAGAGGCCGGGAGACCGGGGTCAGGCGGGGAGGGGGGAGCGGGATACCGGGGTCAGGGGAGGCCGGGAGGGCGGGAGGCCGGGGTCAGGGGGGGAGCGGGAGGCCGGGGTCAGGCGGGGAGGGGGGAGCGGGAGGCCCGGGTCAGGCGGGGGAGCGGGAGGCCGGGGTCAGGCGGGGGGGGGGAGGAGCGGGAGGCCGGGGTCAGGCGGGAGGGGAGCGGAGGCCGGGGTCAGGCGGGGAGGGTGGGGGTGGGGGGGACCGGGAGGTCGGGGATCGGAGCTGCTACGAACACACCGAAGACTCACAGCCGCGAAGATGGTGAAGGAGCAGTTCAGGGAGACGGATGTGGCCAAAAAAATGTAAGTTCGGGAAACGCTGTAATCCTGGGAGTGGGGGATAGTGGTGGGGGGAGAGGGAGGGGCTGGGGATTGGGGAGGGGCTGAGGATGGGTGGGGGATGGGGAGGCTTGTGGGAGAGACTGGGAGGGGTGGCTGGTGTAGGGGAGGGGGGGGATGTGGGTGGGGATGGGGGGAGGGGAGGGGGTGGGGGGACTGGAGGGCTGGGGTGGGGAGGGGGCTGGGGGGGGTGGGGGGTGATGGGGTGGTGGAGGGGCTGGGGGGGCTGGGGTAGGGATGGGGTGAGGGGGTGTGGAGGGGCTGGGGAGGGGGGATGGGGCAGGGTATCTGATGATGGGTGGGGGGGTGGTGGTGGGGGGGTGCGGTGCAGTGATTCATTGACATCTTGTTTAATATGGCATTGATCTGTTTTTGACGCATGTGGAAGGCCATGGGATCTCCACGCTAACCGTATCCAAACCAAACTTGAGAATTCACCACACATCCCACCTCCACATGGAGATCCCAGAGATAGACTGTTGGAATGGAATGCCCTCTCTCTCCCTGGAGGGACACATCCCACTTACCTAATTCCGGAAAGTATCAGGCGCAGGTTGGCAAGAGCCAAGGAGTATGGACACCGGAGTGTGTGTTGGGGTAACTGCTGGAGTCTAACCAACCAAAACCACATAGCTTGCCATTCGTATTACTGTCTGGCAAGCTTTCCTGCTGCTTGTCCAGCTAGAACCAGCTTACCTGTTGGGGCTTTGGCTTAGAGGGTTAACAGGAGCTGAGTGAGATGATTCCCTACTCCCAGTGACTGGTCTGCCCAATCAGGTCTTGCCACTGTACTGTCATGAGCGGTGCCAAGAATGCTACGGACCCGCCTGGTTCGGGAACCGGACTACCAAGATCGCCACAGAGGGCTGGCTCGATTCTGATATTCCACTGCCAAGCATGTCACCTTGCAGCCAATTCAGTTCTAAAGAGAACCCGCTTACCTCCACGGCCTCACCCCCCCCCCCCCTCCCCCCCAAGGAGGATGGTCATGAGTTGATCATACGACATCCAACAAGGGTGGGCTTGAGTTCTCACTCGGTGGATGGTAGGTACCAGGAACTCCATGTGAGCCTCCTGGTGGGCAATACGTCCCAACATTAAATGCCTGAGAGCATTGCCACCATCTTCTTGCCCGCAGCTCGGCTACACGTTCACATTGTTTATAATCCAGCTTTCTCACTAATTTGACAACTGAAAAACATCCTTGCTTTAAGATGGCTCCTTGTTAAGAAGGAGATTGTTTTGATAGTATCACAGTCTGTTTGATATTTTTGTTTTTGTAACAATTCAGCAATTTATTTTTGTTTCTATTGAGATTGGGATATTTATCATTCATAGGAAACTGTTGCCAAATTGGTAGTGCAATCTGAATGTGAATATGTAGCAACAACAAGTTGCACTTTATATAGCACCCTCCACACCAGGCATCGTCCCAGAGCGCTTATATGTATTCCATATATATTGTCCGTCCGTTCTGTTCAAGCTTAAAAATATTTTACCCAAATGCATCATTTCACAATACCTTTATGTTTGTCTGGTGAGAGTGAGGCTGGTTTGAATAATTGTGTGTCCTGGGTTAGCGGATCTCATTCAGGGCAGCAATTGGGGTACTAACATTTGGCCACAACTCTGCTAAGTTAGAGAGGAGAAATTAAGACAGGGGTTTCCAACCGCCTCATCATTATTCACTGCCCTTTGATGGAAGGTCAATGTCAGGTAAAGAGAGGATCAAGCTTCATTATTAATGTTGCCTCTACTCCCTATGGTAAAATAGCCTGCCAACAAAAGCTACCAATGATCAGCAATAAATAGTGGAATCCTAGAGGACAAATAGTGCTGAGTAGAAAGGTGGGGGAGAAAAGAGTATGATCAGGTCATCCAGTGACTATTCCAAACAATAACCTGTGTTCATTGCACTGAACTCTTGTGCAAGGCTTCCAAAACATATCTAAGATCTGCTAGAGGTTCAAATGATATAAAAAACAGTATCTGGAATTGTGACTAAATCAGTTCAAATAATGATGTGTAAAAAAAATGGAATACTAATATTTGCCTTATGAATCTAACCAAGATCAACTAAGAAAACAGTCTTATTAATGAAGTTTTTGATGTCCTTCAAGCAAACAAGTAGAATATTATAATGCTAGCATTTTTAAATATAATTCTAGCTTACACTTCTTGAGGGCATGTAGATCTTGTAACACATTATTTTTTTTAACGCCTGCTATCAACTTTTCAGACAAACTAATCTGCCACACTGTTTTGTTTCTTCTTATAGAAGCCACATCTGTTTTGGGATGAAGTCTGCAGAGCAGATGAGGCAGCAAGCACACATCCAAGTAGTAAGCAAGAACCTCTACAGTCAGGATAATAGTCATACCCCTTTATCCTTTGGTGTATTGGACCATCGCATGGTAAGTTCATAGTCCCAAAAAAATCTCATCGTAATAAATGGCTGCTTGTACATAGGATAACTCTATATACTTGCTAGCTTTATTCTTTGCTATCTTATTGTTTGGTAAAACAACTGACTAATCATTTTTGTTTATTAATGCAGTTTGCCAACAGAGTCAAACTATACGGCTTAATCTGGTAACACTGTGATGCAATATTTTAGGAGAACATGTAAAGTTTGTGCTAGGAACAAGATTCTTTTTGTTCTGTCTAACTTGGAATTCGGTCTTAATGTAGAGTCAAGCACTGAATCAGGGAGACTATTATTATCTGCTTTTCCAGGGATGACCGGGATAATCAAGATTTCATTGAGGGAACAAGGCGATCAATCTCTGTTTTGTGCTCTACCCAAACATCTAAATATTGTATATACGTTAGATCATTTTTGTAAAATCTGCAAACAATCCAATACATTTTTGCAATTTAATGGCTTATAAATAAACAGTTTTAAGTTTTGTTTTGAAGATGAACTTTGTTGCTTTTGGTTCAAACAGGGAACCAGTGAGAAAGATCGTCCATGTGAAACATGTGGGAAGAATCTGGCTGACTGCATTGGACATTATGGTTACATTGATTTGGAGCTGCCTTGTTTCCATGTTGGCTATTTTAAAGCCATTATTGGAATCTTACAGGTAAAGAGGAGCAAGTTATGGAAGCCACCAACACATGTGAAAAATGATATTCCTTAATACTTAGCCATGAAGAGTCAAGCAAGACTTTGATGCCAGCAAAAGTTTCAGTTTAAAAATAAGCTGATTAAAATGAGGAGTTTTAAGAACTTTCCAAACATTCTTTCTCTGAATGCAGGGTAATCAAGCCACATAAAGTTATCACTTTTAATAGGTATTCCAACAATTTTAATTTGAAACCATGCTAAATTAATGTGAACAACACTACCCAACTAGTATCCTGAAGTTTGCTAATCTTGCAAAATGTATTACTGCTCCTGTATCTCACTGTGTGTTCTTATTCTAATGTTCCTTTTCCCCAGATGATCTGTAAAACGTGTTCCCACATCATGTTGTCCCAGGAGGAAAAGAAGCAGTTTTTTGATGCTTTGAAAAGGCCTGGCTTAACCTACCTTCAGAAACGAAGCCTGAAAAAGAAAATCTCTGAGAAATGTAGGAAACGAACCATCTGTCTGTTCTGTGGAACATTTAATGGTAGGAAATCTAAAACTATTGCTTCTGTTATTGCAAGAAAAATGGTCTAATTGTTATAAAGCATTGAATCTTAAATAGAACATTCCCAGAAAATGAGTATTTGCAATGCCAGAACTGAATTAAAATATTCCTGTCTAGTCTGAAACTGTGATTGACTAATGATGAAACTCACACTGTGTCAGTTAGTTGTCCTCTCACCTCGGGTCAGAAGCTTGTAGGTTAAAGCCAAATGTTGGGACTTCAATTCATAGTCTAGACCAGGGAGGTCCAACCTTTTTACTGCCCTAGGCTGGATTCCTTATTTGAGAAAGATCCGCATGCCACATAAGCAGTATTTCATGTTCCCCTTTCAGGCACAAAACAGCATTTACACAGCATATTTTTCATGTTGGAGAAACATCTTGACGCTGTCATCTGCGGGACGGAGCCAAAAGAAGTGGGATGGGGAGGGGAAAAGATGAGCGAAAGCGTGGTCAAACAGTTAGGTCTTGATGTGCTTGCAAGAGGGTAGGAAGGCAGTTAGAGGGACTCCAGGAATGGAACTCCAGAGAGCGGGGCAAAATGCCCATGGTGGGGCAGGTGGGTGGGGGGAACATAAAGCAAGCTGGTGCTTGCTCTGCAAAGGGAACGGCCAGGTCGGTGAGATCGTAGAAATAGGGGGAGGAGGGAGATGGAATGAACGATGTGGAGGAGTTCTTCACTGGGGAAAGAAGGAGCTTTCTGTGAAGAAACTGCACGGCAATAATTACTTGTGAAGTGCTTTGACATGTTTCAACATAAGGTGCGATTAAAATTCACGTTCTTTCTCCTGTAGCTGAGATTTGTCACCTGTTTTAAAATGTTGGCACATTTATTTCCAACAGGTCCTGTGAAAAAATGTGGCTTGCTGAAGATTATTCATGAAAAATACAAGACGAATAAGAAAGTGATGGACCCTGTGGTGTCAGATTTTCTGCAGTCTTTTGATATAGCAATAGAACACAACAAGGAAGTGGAGGCATTGCTTGGAAGAGCCCAGGTTAGGGTCGTATTCAATACTTCAGTATACAATCCCCATTTTCTCAACAGAGTCGACTTATTTACTTCTTTCATTTGCTTTCAACAACAAGCGCTCTGAGACACTACCCTGCATGGAGGGTACTATATAAGTGCAAGTTGTTGTTTTCACTGAATAATGCCAGTGGCTCAAACAGAGCCTGTGAGGAGCCTAGCAACCAATCTGCCCTTGAACTTAGTAAAACAAAAGTGTTCATTGCCAACCGGCATGTCGTGTAACTGAATGCAAGAGAATTTTAAACTGTTTTATTATTCTAATCTTAATAATGGACCCTGTCATCACTTCTTAGAAATTAACAAGTTTTCCATTATTAACTTAATTTGACATTTCATAAACAATAATGAAGCTTACATTTTATTTTATGGTTTTCAGTTTCTTTGTGTGTCTGTTGCGCACTTGAATCTTTCATCTTGTGCCTATTTGAATCAGCACCCTCTTAACATATGTTTTGGAAGCCTGGTGTAGTCTGTTCTATTGAGTATGCATTGTTAAGAATAATTTTGATTGCAAAGTACTGAAGTCTCACACAAAGTGTCACCCATTTCTCTTTCAGGAAAATCTCAGTCCTCTGATAGTGTTGAACATATTTAAAAGAATTCCTTCGGAAGATGTCCCCCTACTTCTGATGAACCTTGACGCAGGGAAACCTGCAGATCTGATCCTTACGCGGTTATTAGTTCCTCCTCTCTGTATCAGACCTTCAGTAGTCAGCGACCTAAAGTCTGGGACCAACGAAGATGATCTGACCATGAAACTGACTGAAATAATCTTCCTGAATGATGTCATTAAAAAGGTTGGGCTACGTTCTCTGAAGCCGCTTTCTATGTTGTGTGTTATTTCAATGTCATGTATGGTAATTGGTATTATGTATAGATGAAATGGGCACTGCAGAGAGTACCAGTATTACTAGTCTAATAAATTGTTACTCACGTTCCCAAATAATGATAATGTGTTTAAGATTTGAGTGTTGAATTTTTTTAAGTACTTGATTTTAACCACTTGATGTGGTTTGCTAAATGAAATTCAGTCACATTAATTTATCTTGATTCAGCTATACAAAAGAAAATTTGAAAGGATAAAGAGAAGCGTTTTTTTTAAAAAATAATTGGCTTATTTAAACATTAAATACCTTCAAAGACTGTCAGCAGTTTTGAGTTTTAGAATTGTATTATTAACCTTTTTTTCTCAGCATAGAATGTCTGGGGCAAAGACTCAAATGATCATGGAGGACTGGGACTTCCTGCAATTACAGTGCGCACTTTACATCAACAGTGAGCTTTCTGGCATTCCTCTCAACATGGCACCCAAGAAGTGGACCAGGGGCTTTGTACAGAGGTTAAAGGGAAAACAGGGTGAGTCATGTAGAAATTACAACTATGGCAAATTATATTTGTGTAGCGCCTTTCATGTCCGAAGAACATCACAAGGCAGTGGACAATTAGGGATTTATAATTAATAGTTAAGTTCAATTAACCTCTTAAAGGCTCCATCTTTCAGAGTAAATTTCTGCCCACTTAATTTTAAGGTTTCTTGGACAATTTTTGATTGACTGTTCTATGTTAGCCTATTTGATTAAAAACCTTTTTTTTAATTTAAAACAGTTTTTTTATATAGTTTATTTTTTTATTTTTTTGTGTGGGGATTTGACTATCTTAATAGACCCGTCCAGGTTTTCAGAAATTTTCTTTGCAGCTGAAATTAGCAATGAATCTTTCAAATTACTGGTCTTGTCTATGAGGATCGAACTTCAATCAGTTTGTGAATTTTCTGGATACTTACTTTACTTGCTCAGCAGCAGAAGTTTAAAAACTTCTAATTTCTTGCTAACTCTTGCATTGGTTCTTCTCTCCCATCTTTGCAAAAAGGTGTTCATTGAGTACAAGCAAAAAATAAATGCATCTTATGGGCGCTTTGTAAAAGCATGCATAATTTTATAAGCAGCCTTTTTTTAATAGGTCGATTTCGAGGAAACCTGTCTGGAAAAAGAGTAGACTTTTCCAGCAGAACTGTCATCTCTCCTGACCCCAATCTACGGATTGATGAAGTTGCAGTTCCGGTCCATGTGGGAAAGATCCTTACATACCCAGAGAGGGTGAGTTACATTTTAAGGACATCCATTACTTTATTAGAAAGTGCCTGTCTCTGAATTTACTTAAATATTATTGCCACAGGTTACCAAAGCCAACCTGGATTTTATGCGCAAACTTGTCCGTAATGGGCCTGAAGTGCACCCAGGAGCCAATTTCATCCAACAGCGACACACAAACCTGAAGAGGTACCTGATTCCATTTGAGTTTTGTTTAATAGATGGACGTTTCTCTATTTTCTTTCTTTCCTATTCAAAATAAGAATCACTGTTAACTCATTTGTGGCACAAAATACATCCGGTGAGATTAGAGCCAAGTGTTGAAATGGGTACTTTTGACTTTCTATTCAGCTTTAGTTCTGTGAAGGAAAAGTGGAACAATGGTGCAATGCAGGTCAACCACAGAGTGCTAAGGAATGGATTCTCAGGTGTAATAAACAAGACATCCTTCTCCATTGTCGTCAAGAGAACCCTGTTCAATGTTTTACAACAGGATGCGAAATAGGAATGAGAGTTAACCGACTTTTAGAGTAACATTAACAAGAGGCCTGGTAATAATGATAATAATAATGCTTGAATTCAATTTAGCGCCTTACCACGTCATTGAGACATCTCAAAGCACTTCACAGAATATATTATAAAGTGGATTGACTTTGTGTCTAGAAAGTGTGGGCAAAATGCAGCAGACAGTTGGTAGCAGAATACTCTCAAAAGAGAACGTGTGTATGTAGTTTACTTTGTTGTAATTTTTTACATTCATGCACTGATTTCTTTGCCTATTGAAAATTAAGGTTTCTAAGATACGGAAATAGGGAAAAGATGGCTCAGGAACTGAAGTATGGCGACATTGTGGAGCGGCACCTGATTGATGGAGATATAGTATTGTTCAACAGACAGCCATCCTTACACAAACTGAGTATCATGGCACATATAGTAAGTGTTCCATAAACAACAACTTACACTTATATAGCGCCCTCCATGCAGGGTAGTGTCTCAGAGCGCTTAACAGTGGCGGAGCCTGACTCCAAGCTGCGCGGGTGCGATGGTGGGGTTTGGGTGACCGTGAGCACGGCAGAAAAGGAAGGTTTTCAGGCGGGACTTGAAAAAGGGGAAAGAGAGGGCAACGTGGTGGGATTGAGGGAGAGTGTGACAGAGTTTCGGGACGTAGTGGCTGAAAGCACGACCTTCAATGGTGGAGCGGAGGGGGCGAAGGACAAGCAGGAGGCCAATGCCAGTAGAGTGGAGGCACCGGGTGGCAGATTGGAGAGTGAGGAGGTTGAGGATGTAGGGAGGTACCAGGGAGTGAATGGATTTGAACAGGAGTGTGAGTATCTTGAAGTCAATCCGTTCGGTGATGGGGAGCCAGTGGAGTCTGGCCAGAACTGGTGCTTGAATTGCATAAAACTTTATATTATACAATATATAAAAATATATATCGAGAAAACTTTGCATCAGACTTTAATGCAATAAATCAATTTACTCTCTACCTGCTTTTGACTATCAATATGTCCCAGCTGATGAACGTAGTCTTTCAAATCCATCAGACAGCAACATTGAATTGGTTGCTTAATAACATATTTAAGAATTTCCTAATTGAAATATATACGTGATTTAAATATAACTTCAGCAATGTGTGTTTGTTTGTTTGTTGTATTGCATTGGTCTAACTGACTTGATATTCCTTATCTCAGTCCTAATCTGAATACTCATCTGAACAATTCCATCCGACTCCAGATTCAGTTCAGCTGATTGGGACCACACACTGTAAAGAAGCCTAGTATAGAGATGGGCGGGAGAGGAAATCAGGAATTCCACTTGAACCTCTTTGATTGTGTTTGTTTTAATTAAATTTTAGGCCAAAGTAAAACCTCACCGAACATTCAGGTTCAATGAATGTGTTTGCACCCCATACAATGCAGATTTTGATGGTGATGAAATGAATCTTCACCTTCCTCAAACTGAGGAGGCCAAGGCTGAAGCACTTGTTCTGATGGGGGTGAGTGCTGTTTGCCTACGTTAGCACATCTTCACTTGTAGTGTAAAAAATCAATTGAAATATTGTTAGCAGTTTAATAATTGTACCTGGTGTAATGGTAATTTGTAAGCTTTTTGCTCCCATGCCATTTTCCTATATTTGATGAGATGTTAGAATCTGTAAAGCGATTTTGAAGAATTAAACATTTATAAGTACTTGGAATCCGACGCTTCAAGAAATGGGAGATAAAATAACTCTGAATTCTGGTGAACAGTGGGAACATACAAAATAAATTAATATTAAAATGGCTGTTTAATTAATACATTTTGTCCTTTTCCTTTGTAGACAAAAGCCAACTTGGTAACCCCTAGAAATGGGGAGCCCTTAATAGCTGCTATCCAGGACTTTCTCACAGGTGAGGCAGACATTAGCACTTTCTACTAACATTTGAACTTTGAAAACATTATTTGCTGGAATCGTGAAGATTCTGTGCACAAAGGTCATGTGGGTCTTTGATTGAGTTTGAACACGTGCTTGTACTTGAATGTGTTTGAAGAGAAAAATATTTTGAACTTTCTACTGTGAGCACGTTCAAATTCAAGAGGCAAAGTGTAGACTATTTTTATATTAGATCTACCACAAAACCATGTGTCTCTCTGTTAGGAAGTTATGTCATTCACTGGATATATTTGTTTTTCTTTGCACAGGTGCCTATCTGCTTACCCTGAAAGACACTTTCTTTGACAGAGCAAAGACTTGTCAGATTGTTGCGTCCATTCTTTCAGGAGAAGATGAGAGACTCAAAATTACTCTTCCACATCCTGCAATCTTAAAGGTAAGAACGGTGCTCTCACACACTTTGTAGGGCTGGAACAAATGCCTTTAATCATTGTAGATATTATACTTATTGGATGAACCAGAATGCTTTACTATTCAAGAGGTTGCTCACACTTAAGATGGTCCTACACAATTCATTCATACTTGTGGTTTCACTGTGTTATTCATCCCCTTTTGGGGATTATGTGAATCTGGTACTTTTCGCATCATTTTGGGATCAAACCTGATTCTTTAAATTTTATTATGTATAGTTGTCATTTCTAAAACGTCTTCAGATTTGGACTGAGTTGTTCATATTTATTGACTGATCTTTCAAATTGATTTTCCGTGCTGCAGTGATATGTACAAAGTAATCTCAGAAATTTCTCTGTATTTTTTAAAAGCCTGTCACACTGTGGACAGGAAAGCAGATTTTTAGCGTCATTCTCAAACCCAACAAAGAGTGTCCTATTAATGCAAACCTTCGCACAAAGGGAAAGCAGTACTGTGGGAAAGGAGAGGATCTGTGCCACAATGACTCCTGTAAGTAATACCCTTACTTGAAAGTAATGTTTGAAATGTTGGAACACAATGACATTTTTTAATTGGAAAACAGCAATCCTTTTGCAGTCTCATGACCATATAATGCCCGTCTTGTGTAAGCTTGACAGGTAACAAGCTACACAAAGGCAAGTTTTAAGACTTGAAACTTCTCGAGCTATAGAAAAAAAATGTTGCTGAAGGAAAAGTATTCTTTTTGATATTTTTTCATTGAAAATACAGATTCTCATTCTGCATTTTTCTAAATGTCCGTACATGTACGCTGAATTTTCATACCAGTGTTCTATAATGGCAGATAATTCCACATTGTGTCATCCCTCCACACGGGAAAAGTAGGAGCTGCAAAAAAAAATGGATATTTTCTTAATGAGTAAATAAAGGAGGAAATTCTAACAGATGATCAATATGACATTTTACTGATGTGTATTTAGATTTTCATATCTCATTTTGTCTTGAGTAGAAATTCCATGGTATGTAGAATATTTCTTTTTATATGCTCGGATGGAGAAAGTAGTTAAAATGAATGACTGGAACAGGGTTGAACTTTTTAGTGTAAGTTTTAGATGAGAGAATGCACTGAGAGTGTACATTTGTATACCGAGCAGCACTTACTGATGACACCCCGCCAGCCCCCCCACACACAAATAAATTATTTCTATCATCTTACAGTTGTTGTAATCCAGAACAGTGAGCTGATGTGTGGGTGCTTGGATAAAGGAACACTGGGCTCCGGCTCCAAGAACAACATCTTCTATATCCTGTTGAGAGACTGGGGGCAGATGGCGGCTGCAGATGCAATGTCACGCCTGGCTCGACTGGCTCCTGTCTACCTCTGTATGTATTAGCAAGTAGCCACTGTGTCATGAACTGCTTTTGTCTAAATTAATAATATTTCAATCAAATATTGCATTGCGCTATTGAAAGTTATATCAAAGCATCACTTTCTATATAAAATAGTACAGTAGAAACTCACTATCAATAGCCTGGCCCTTTTTTCCCTATTGCTGAGATGTCCAGAAGATGAGCTTTTACAGTAATGGCTATTGGTGTTCATTTTATGTTGACTTATTATAAGATTTAATTGTCCATGTATCAAAACTAGCCAATCGAGGATTCTCCATTGGGATTGGTGACGTAACGCCAGGCCAGGGATTGCTGAAGGCCAAACAAGAACTATTGGATGCTGGCTATAAAAAGTGTGATGAATACATTGAAGCACTCAAAACTGGTAAACTCCAGCAACAGCCTGGATGTACAGCAGAGGAAACACTGGAGGTAAGGGCTGGTTTATCCGTTTCAAGGCAAATAAATCATGTACTTGCATTTCTTATAATTATCATCATATTGTCTGTTTTATACCAACTTACTACCCATGCTTGTCCTTTTCTTTCTCCTAAAGCTAAATGTTTTGTCCCTCTTGTTTTAAGACAGACTGACTGTTTTTGGCACTGCAAAAAATGTTTTGAAACAATGTATTTGCTGCCCTGGAAAACAAATCTTTCGGTGATCATAAGTTCTAGGTTGAAAAAGATTCTTCCATCCTTTGTTAGCTTTTAATACTATGGCGCTTTCAGTAAATTGAATAAAGCTAAATATGTCTGCATGGAGATTAAGGAATTTGTGTAGGTTTGATGTGGTGCTCTTACTGCTTTCAGGCCTTGATCCTTAAAGAGCTATCTGTAATTAGAGACCATGCTGGCAGCGCGTGCCTCAGGGAACTGGACAAGAGCAACAGCCCTCTCACGATGGCCCTCTGTGGGTCAAAAGGTAATGGGGGGGGGGAGTAGTTTCAAATATTAGTACATGGATAGGTTTTCATAAAGTTGTTCAGCAAAGATACATGGATAGGTATTCATAAAACTGCCCTTTCACTCTTTTCAGTGACATTCTCTGGTACGAGGATGTTCTTGGGTCTCTGTTATTGATGAACTGCAGTTGGAGAGTGAAGCATTGTGAAACTTGTCTGCTTCCCTACTCCTTTTCGTGTTGGAAAGTATTTTGCCTTTCCTCAGGGCTGACAGTGCAGGACATTTGTACAACATTTGTATATTTGTAGTTATTTTAATATCCACTTAATGTTACTGAGAATAAGTGCTATTGCTTCCTCTTTAGTCACTCCCAACCCACTAATCCAATCATTGGCCAGGTTCCTTTATCAACATCTCCCAGATGATTGCCTGTGTAGGACAGCAGGCCATCAGTGGATCCCGGGTTCCTGATGGTTTTGAGAACAGATCTTTACCCCATTTCAAAAAACATTCCAAGGTGAGCAGCCAAATCATTGAAAGAACTTAAACAAAGTTGAAAATTATTTGATTGTTTGGCTCTGTAAGTTAATTGGCAAGTTCCAACTTGAATTGTTTTCATTTTCTTCTGTGCAGCTCCCAGCAGCAAAGGGCTTTGTCGCAGACAGTTTCTATTCTGGGTTGACTCCAACTGAGTTCATCTTTCACACCATGGCTGGTCGTGAGGGCTTGGTCGATACAGCTGTAAAGACAGCAGAAACTGGATACATGCAGGTAATGGTGGAATTTCCCACAAGTTTTAAACCTAGCAATCAATAGGTGATATTGGAAGTATTGATTTATTCCTGCAGGTCAAATTTCACGATTGTCTATTCAGTTTGATCACTTCCATGTAGGGCATGAAGAAAAGCCCAGCAGGTGGCATCAGAGGATTTAGCAATGCTATCTTCCTTTATAGTCATCATTTTAGAAACAGCTGTTCCATATTCATTGGTGGTATTTTTATGCCAAGGTATCTTAATTGCAATAAAACCCTGGACATGGTGATAAGCACTCCTGGGTCTCTGTTGAATTTAGCTTGGGTGACCGTGCCTTCATCTACACAATCTGGCTTAGTTTGCTGCAATTACCTTTACTTACTCACTTTACTGACTGACTGTCTCTTTCTTCCTTTCTTTGCTTCTTTCTATCTTTTTCTCTTTTCCTCTCTTTCTTTTCTTCTTTATCTCTCTTCCCCCCTCTCTCCCTAATAGCCAAATGACCTCTGCTACGCAAGAAAGTCATTTCTGGTTGAATCATATAATACTACTGATTGGGAAATTCAGCAGACTGTTGCCTCTTGGCTGCCATCCAGAATTGTAGAGAAGACTTTTTGTTGTTTGCATCGTCTCCTTCTCGCCATTGCTTGATACTCCAGTGCTCCAGGGTCGCCAGCAGCAAGGATCAGATACACTCGTAGCCTTTCTTCTCTGAATTTATAAATTGTAAATACACAGTCAATCCACTTTACAATATATACTGTGAAGCGCTTTGAGACATCTCAACAACACGATAAGGAACTATATCAAATGCAAGGATAATTATTATTAGTCTGTTGAACAAAGAAGATGTTGCTAGGTCAGAATAATGGCCGTCTATAAAGCTAGGAAAGTTGTATATATTAATTGAAAACTAGAATGTCATTCTTTCCCCCTCACCCGGCGGTCTGAGACGTGGGGTTGCACTGCTTGAAAAAACAGCCTGTAGTCTTGAGCTCTAGGTTCTTCAGCCTTTCACAAATGAACAGATTCTCTATTGGATTGCTGATATATCTTCAATAGCTTTATAAACACACAGTCTCTGTTTGTCTGTGTTGTGTAGATATACACTGTGACTGAAGGTTTTTAGCTATTAAAAGGTTGATCTAGCTAGGATGCATTGGTATGTGTCGGAGGTGCTAAAACACTGACTGTCCAGGATCTTGGGACGTCCTCCCAACGTGAAAGGCTCTATACAAATTTAATTTTGTTTTTGTTGTATACTTTCCTTAAATCTATTGGATGGTTTGCAATTTTAATATGTATTTTCCAGATATGGTCTAGAAATGCTTAAAGATTACAGTATATAAAAATATAACGTGAACGTCTGCTCATAGATACAACAGTTTTCTGTTTTGCAAACCGAATGTCATACTTTAGCTTGTGATTTCTGTTGTCTTTGGTTTTGGACCATGATCCTGTAAGGTTAAGGTCTACGTCTAGCTATCTGGATCCTCTCACGCAGTCTTTCTCCTTTTGGATTGTTAAAAAAAAAAATTCTGTCTGTGGACATTTAGCACCCCGGGGCTTGGAAATTAATCTTTAACATTTAGAACACACTTGCTCAGCCAGCAGTGTGTTCTGGAGATAATTTTGTTTCTTCTGTCTTTTTCCAGAGACGTCTAGTAAAATCGCTGGAGGATCTGTGTACACAATATGATTTAACTGTCCGCAGCTCAACTGGTGACATCATCCAGTTTATCTATGGGGGAGATGGCTTAGATCCAGCAGCCATGGAAGGCAAAGATGAACCTTTAGAATTTAAGCGGGTTCTGGATAACATCCGAGTATGTGAATTTCTTCTTAAAGTTGTGATAAAGTGCTGCATACTTTCAGTTCCCTTAGGCAACAAGCTCAATTGTGAAGAATCTTGTACAGATCTGCTCTCCCTCAATTTTTCCTCATTTGCATGTGCTTTTCGGATGAAGGTGTTTAAAATTTTACTGTTTTATTGTGAATGACTCTGTTCTCCCATCCTTACAGTTCCTTAAAAGCACAAGAATGCTTAGTTGATAAGTGAATCTGCAACTTTATTTTAGAAAAAATGGAATATCTTGGCAGCAGATTGTGTGTGGATCCATGCCCATATATAGCAATAATTTCCTGAAGGTAGCTCAGAATTGATGACTCCTTCAGACTAAAATTCTGGAAAGCCACATCGCTTAATGGTACTTAAATAATACTTGCTCTGTATGCATTGCGATGATCATTATCTTTAGTTGATCATTTTCGTATTGGGTATTACAGGAATGTTACAGTTATGAGACTTGACAAATTAGGATTATATTAACTAGAACAGAGAAAGTTAGAGGAAATCTTTTAAGATGTTTTCAAAATTATGAATATTGGAGAAAATGGAGAAACAATTTCTACTGAGACCAGAAGAAAACGGGCAGGTTAGATTTGTTTTATATATACAGAGGGTTATTTGAATAAATAATGCCTTACACATGGAAATTCAGGATGAGTCAATAACAGCATTCAAAAGGGAATTGGAGAAACATTTGGAGAAATGTTGAGCATGGCGAGGAGGGAGAGAAGCAAAAGAACTAGCTTGTTATCCTAGTAACTAGCTCCAGCGAAGGAGGAAATGTCAGCACTGTGCTATCAGCATTCTGTGATTATAATTGTTTAGCAATCTCCAGGTACGCTATTTGTATAGGATATGTCTGAATCTGCATGCCTTTGTCCCAGGAAAAGTGTTATTTGCTATTTTTTTAAATACAAAAATTTATATGCTGCCTTTGTTATTCTCTGCTAGGCCATTTTCCCATGCCGCAAGGAGCCAGCTCTGAGTAAAAGTGATTTGGTTTTAAGTGCCGAGGCCATGATGAAGAGAAACGATTTTCTATGCTGCCAAGATGAGTACCTGCAGGTCAGCTAAACAGTAGAATTCCCAATGTCACCAGTTACCATCTTAGATCAAGGCACGCGTTATGTTTTAGATTACAATGAGGTCTTTATTTTTCCTTTACTTTTCCATTCTTTCTCATTCTTGCTTTCATTCACTCTTTCTTTAATCCAACTCTGAAGACTTTAACTGGGACAGGCTGTGAGAACTTCAGTGAGGTAATGGCTACCAATCATTTGGTCTTTGTGTAGATTGGCTGTTGGGCATTTCTGTCCTGTGGAGAGAGGCGTGCTCATTATTAATGCAGTGGCTGATTTTTCTATTAACCACGCACTATTTTGGTAGAACTTTCAGATCACAATATGTAGTTATTCAGGCAGACATTCTTGTTGTCACACACCAAGAGGTTTATTGTCCTATTCTGGTGTTGGGCATACATACATCTGTAATGTTGCAAATCCAAATTGAATGCCTAAGAATTTCGTATGAAGCAGATTTGCTTGCAGACCAAAAAACAAGTTAACAACTGTCGAAAAAAGGATTCATTATAATATTGAGGAATTGATAGTATTACGCTGTGCAATTATAGCTGAAATGAGCAAATATTAACTCAAATTAGTTGTGTTAACTGTGTTTGGACATTGGAACAATAGATAAGTTCTGTGTGGGCTGTTTGATTGCCCTATTGGGGCACTAAACTGACTATTTACTGCATGTTAATGTCTTGGTCTGACACTTTTTTTAAACGAATTGCAAAGTACTTCATAATGAAGGATCATTAGTCATGTCTTCTCTCCATAAAGAAAAAGGGACTATAGGTTTAATTATACAGATTGCACCAGAGATGACTGATCAGTTCACATAACTTGAAGCCAAGCTCCACAGGAGATAATATTGAGGAATTGGTAATATTACGCTGTGCAATTATAGCTGAAACCCTCCTGTGGAGTTCTGACGAAGGGTCGCGGACCCGGAACGTTGACTCACTTTCCTTTCTTCATAGATGCTGCCTGACCTGCTGAGTGTTCCTAGCGACTTCTGCTTTTGTTTCAGATTTCCAGCATCTGCAGTATTTTGCGTTTTGTCCACAAGAGAGAGATATGTTGGATTGGGTGAAACTGTTTGGATAATTGGGTGTCAAAAAACAGAATGTGTAAAATGCTCTTTGATATTGATGGAAGCATTACAATATTTGTCTTAGATTGATTGACGTATTGCTTTTTGGCTTTGAAGAAGGTCACATATAGAAGCGAAAATGGTTAGAGAAGTAGAAGTATTTAGGAATTTTATTTTGTTCTGAATAATTGTGTAACTCACAATGTTAAGTGATACCTTATGTAAAAATGACTAGTTAACAAAGGCTTGGATTTGAGTAGAGTATGTTTGTTGTTCACTGTCTATCATCTGCAACTTCAAAATGAAAATATAGCATGGATGATAGTGTTTATTTTGCTGCTGTCAAGTCTAGAAGGCTGTGGAAGGGCGTTCTCTCTCTTGCTGGGACTTTAACACGAAAGAAAGCATTTCTTTTCCAAGAATTTTTAGAATATGGAATGCTTTCATCACAAATAGCTGTTAATGTAAATGCTGTTGAAGGCAAGTCAGTAATCACATTTAAGATGGAATTGGCTAAATATTTGAGGAGAAAAAATATTAAAGTAAGGAGACTAAGCAGAGGGTTTGGTCAGTACGTTCCATTGGAGGAGGTAGCATCAGTAGAGAAACCGTGGGCTGAATAGTCTCCACTTGCACTGTTAACTCTCTTTGATTCTGCCATAATTGATATGAGTGATATTTAGTGTTAGTGAGTGGCACTGTCTCACTAACACTAATCTTCACAATTACTTTTCTTGAAGTTTTTTTTAAACCTTTTTTATATCTCCTAAGAATCCAAGTGCATTATGGCATACTGTAAATTTTATTTAGTGTTCTTTAACTGTAGTCTCTGAAAGGGAAAACAGCATTTTGTTGCTTTATTGTGCTGATGTCACGTTGCGAACATGTCTGTTTTCAATGCACAGTTCTGCCTTTGACACAAATCGCATCATTATACTGCAGTGTTTCCCAGATTCAGAGAAGGGTTGTAGAGCATGGTTTATGAAAGCAGATCCCTCTAAAAACTAACTCCAATTCTATTTTTGCATGTTGCTATGGAAGTACCGAGTGTGTGAAGAGTTGTATCTATAGTTTTCGTTAGATTGGCTTAGCATGCTGGATTCTTTTAAATCTGACTTGAAAAGTACTTGCCAACTTAACCCTCAAAATCTATCCATTGAATACGCTATTAAAGAGTTGTTGATATGGTGAAGTATCTTTGATACTTGACTGTGTAAGTATCTTTAATACTTCACTGTGTTGTATAGAAAGTTTGCCTCAAACTGTTGTAGCAATGTTGATATACCTGCTGCTATAAATGTTTATTTTATCTAAAGAAATAGTTGAAACTATGAAGAGCTATGTTGCATGAATTAAGAGTAGTTTTGGCAAATTTACTTGCGACTCCCCTCAGATCACTAGAGAATTTGCAGATTCCTTTCTGTATACCATCGAATTGCTGGCACCAACCAGGAAACACAGTACCATGGACAGTCTCTCCGTTCAAAGTGCATTTCCGCAGCAAAGCATAACAGAGAAGTAGATTTAAAAAAAAACTTTTAGATGAGAATGACTGCAGTAAACATTGCACTGATGCAAAGCTCACTGTAGTACGAAAAGATTCTGAGGGAACCCATCTTGTCTTGTTACTGTATGCTGTGGTTGAAGACAACGTCACAATTTTCTGCAGATCCTTTTGGCGTTAATATCAATATAAATTTCCAAGCAATTGATTTGAGGCATTCAAAATCTTGAGAGTGATGGTTTTATATATTTCAGTAATGCATCACTTCTTAATCATTTGATTTAATACAGAAAAGGTTAGCAATACTGAATCTGACTGTTGTATTTTCCTTAGGCAATCAGAAATTTTGTGAAAGCTGTTTCAGAAAAGATCAAGAAGATGAGAGACAAATATGGTATTAATGACAATGGGACTACTGAGGTACCGATTTAATACATTTATTTTTATTATAGTATATCATTATAGTGCTTTTGTACACCTAGGTAGGCTTGATCCTTATGATCTAACCACCTCTAGAAGTGGGTGTTTTTCTTCCATTCAAATTAGGTTGTTTATTTTCGACATTAACAAAATGAGATCAATGTATCATCCTCTATTTCCATAATGGATTCCGTTATTATAAATGGACTTGGTAACATTAATTAATTTCAAATTATTTCCGTAGCCCCGAGTGCTATATCAGCTGGATCGAATAACTCCTACCCAAGTGGAAAAGTTTCTCGAGACCTGCAGAGACAAATATATGAGGTGAGATTAAAATGCGTGGGATGAAACTTTCCCCACTTGACGTAAACAAATTCCAGTATTTATTCTGTAATTATCAACCTTCAGCGGTCCATTCTTTCTGTAATGATCACACTTGCTTTGTATAGATGTGGAAGAGATGCATGTTTGACACGGGGTCACAGTGCGCAGCAAATTTCCAGGTTTTGCATTTCCACCCCAGCGTGCTTGCAAATGACTGACCTGGTTGAAACGGGAGGAAAAAATAAGCTAAACCTTAAGTGTCCAGTCATCTTGTGGTTTTGCTGATCTCCTGCATTTTGTGTCACTTTATTCAGAGCCCAGATGGAGCCAGGTTCTGCTGTTGGTGCTTTGTGTGCACAGAGTATAGGAGAACCAGGCACACAGATGACCTTGAAGACGTTCCACTTTGCTGGTGTAGCCTCCATGAACATTACTCTTGGTGTACCCAGGATAAAAGAAATTATTAATGCATCAAAATCTATAAGGTAAAATTTCTAAATATAGTTACATTTCTGCTTGTGTCTTTTGCTTTTAATGTATTCAGGTATGGTTTGGGGGAAAATCTATCCGAGTTATCAACTTGAGCTTTCCTATTTTTGGATGCTATTTTTGGTCCTACCAAGAAGACATGAGATGAGGTGAAAATGTGTGGGATAGAGAAGAGTGGTGGTCATCACAATATTTGTTTCTGTGAACCAACTTAGGCTTTTGTTGCTCATATCTGATTGCAGTAAGTGTTTCTTTGGAACTAATTGCACCCTTGTTTTATTCCCCAAATTATGGAAAAGCACCGAAACATTCTTCAAAGCTGTCATTACCTTACACATCTCCAGGAAGAAAAAACCCTTGCTTCCTAGAAGAGCATAGAGCAGAGATTTCTATTTCTTTTATCTGTTTTCTACTAAATCGGTACCTTTCATCCTAACAAAACACCATTCAGCTTTGCGAGGGTAGGAAAGGACCAACAAGACAAGTCTGGCTACACAGCTTTTATCATGCATCATCATGCATCAAGGAGTGAGAGTGCTGGAGTAAGTTTGGAACCCTTAAGAGTTGACCAACACTGTAACTGACGTGTTCATTATGCCCTTTGCTTGCAGCACCCCAATAATTACAGCACATCTTGATCAAGATGATGATGCTGACTTTGCCCGACTGGTAAAGGGAAGGATCGAAAAGACCCTCCTTGGAGAGGTATTTCACTTTGTTTTCTGCATAAAATGCAAAATGCTCTGATTAAATCCTGATTTACCTGTCCATCCACTGACTGAGTCATGCCCTGGGCCAATAGAAAAATGTGGAAATATTTGCCCCAAATTGTAGGAAGATTTGCAGATTTAGCGGGTGTAAGGTAGGGGTGAGTTACGAGTTTTTTTGACTCGGCACATAACGGTGGGAGTGGGAGGAAAGGGGGCTAGAAAACTCGTAACACCACATCCCCCCTTGCATCCTGACTCAAAAAACACAAACCACGTAGCACACCCACCCCTTATGTCCCAAGCCGAAAAAACACCCCCCACTTATGTCCTGAGTCAAAAAAACGGAACCATCTCCCCTTACATCCCGAGCCAACCCCACCACCTCCTTAGGTCAGGAGCCAAAAAAGCACAAACACCTTCCCCTTATGCCTGACACGTAATACCCCCCTCTTTCGCTCTCAGTCAAAAAAACACGTAACACCCCCCCCCTCCCACCCACCTTATGTCCTGCATAAAATAACACGTAACACCCCCCCCCCCTTACGTCCTGAGTCAAAAAAACACGTAATACCCCCTGCTTTTGTCCTGAGTCAAAAAAAGGACATAACACGCCCCACTTACATCCTGAGTCAAAAAAACGCGTTAAAAACCTCCACTTGCATCCTGAGTCAAAAAAAAACGTAACACCTCCACCCTTATGTCTTGAATCAAATAACACGTAACACCTCCCCCTTCCGTTCCAAGTCAAAAAAACACGTACCTCCCCCCCTTACATCCTGTGTCAAAAAAACAACATAATACTCCTCTTTTATGTCCTGAATCAAAAAAACATGTAACACCCCCCCAACTTACATAATTGCTTTGTATATTTATCAATATTGGGACAGCAGGCAAATTATAAACAATGTAGTTGATTTGTATAACTGAAGCAAGCTGTTTTTCTATTGAATTTTTTCCATATGATTCAGATTTCAGAGTATGTTGAAGAAGTTTTTCTGCCTGATGACTGCTTCATTCTCATCAAGCTTTCCTTGGAAAGAATTAGACTTCTAAGATTGGAGGTAAGCCATGAATTGACTTGGATCAAGTCTTAAGTGAAAGAAGTCTTTGATTCAAAGAATGAAGATCCTATCAGATGTGTTATCTTGATTTCCCTCCCAATCCCATAAAGGTTCTTTTTGTGTTTGAAAATGACTGTTGTGAATAGTCTCTTGAAGATTGGGTTATTGAGACCTTGATCTCAAAATTAGTTGTTGTGAACTGTCAGCAATTGTTTTGTGTTAGTCTTTTCCCACCAAAATTCCCCCCCAATTCGTATTTTGATGCTTTTCTGATTTCTAGGTAAATGCAGAGACTGTGAGATACTCCATCTGTACATCAAAACTACGAGTGAAGCCAGGAGATGTTGCAGTTCATGGTGAAGCAGTTGTATGCGTCACACCTCGAGAGAACAGTAAAAGTTCAATGTATTATGTTCTCCAGTATCTAAAAGAGGACTTGCCTAAGGTAGGGGATCCTTGAAGAAATTCAAAGGGCTGAGTTTTTCCATTAACAGACTTTGTGTTTCCTATTTGCAACAAAGTGCTTTAGATGGAAATCTGAATAATAGCCTTCTTAAATCTGAAAATACTGTATCTGAATGCCTGATATCAATTTTTGTTAGCATGTTAGTGTTATTGTGTATTTTATCCTTCCCCAAGCAGCATACCTTTACCACGAACTGAATTAAAATATTTTATAAGTCGATGTCCATTTTGGAAAGTATATAGACTTTGCTCATCACATCTTCCAAATTGTCCAGCTATAAGCAGGAAATTGCCCTCTGATACGTGTTACAAGCCAATTTGCTGTTGCTACTTGGTCATAATGGATTGGCACTCCAATATGTTTTGCCAGCAGACAGCTCTTTGAAGGCATTTAATCTAACTACAGTGTAATCAGAACCACTTTCACCTTCAGGTGGAAAAATTGGTTCAATAGAGTTTTAAATTAGTTTTTCTAAGAAAGTGGGGAAAAAAACTTTTCTAAGTAAGTAAAAAAAGATTTGCATGTTTTAACTATTGGGAGAGAGGGTCTTTTTTCATCTTTCCATATGTCTTTTATGTGTACAATTAGAGCTCCAGAACCACAGATAACCAAACTTCCTACTTGGTGTATCAAATCATATTAAAGAGATGTTTGTGATTATGATTTAAGCAATCTCTTTGATCTTTAGATTTCTGGGTCTTGATCAGCTTAGAAACTACCCTTTGCAACTGGTTTTCAGCATATACAGAAGCCAATTTGCCCAATGAGAATTCCATCTCCAAAATAGACTGTGAGGTAAAGATAGAATAAAGTTGATTAGAATTTAAATCAAAGCAAAGTTACAATGATACAAATAGAATGGTTAAGGAAGAGAATCAATGATTGGAGACAAATTAATTAATATGCATTTAAAATTGTCTTGAAGTTGTTTTAGTTACATAGGACATAGTTAAATTTAGTATTAAAGTAATAAAACTTCTGATATTTGAGCAGCTTTAATACTGAATTGTCAGGATGACACTGTGCAAATAAAATACAATGAGGGTTACGGGAGTAGAGAGGAAATTCACATATTCTGGATCAAGCTCAGATTATTCTTTGTAATTTAGTAATGAAAGAGATTTATAATGTACAATGACTGTTTGTACATAGGCTAGCTTCTCCAGGTCTCTTTCCCCCTCCCCCAGTCTGTCTCTAAATATTTTTCACTGTCAGCCTAGCTTCGATATGTATAACGGAGTCAAATCTTTCAGATTGTTGTTCAAGGAATCCCAGAAGTGTCGAGAGCAGTTATTCATATTGACACTCAAGGTGGAAAGCAGAAATACAAGTTGTTGGTGGAAGGTGACAATTTGCGTGCTGTTATGGCAACTCATGGCGTGAAGGGAATACGCACAACCTCAAACAATACTTACGAGGTAACAGCTTTTCCCTTGTCTGTCTAAAATGTTGTAAATATGTCCTCTTTTTCTTCCTTTTTTCCTCCACTCTTTTCCTCTACCCTCACATAATAATAATAATCCTTGCATTTGATATAATAATAATAATAATCCTTGCATTTGATATAGCGCTTTTCACGTCAGGAGGACGTCCCAAAGCGCTTCACAGAATACACTGTAAAGTGAATTGACTGTATATTTGTGAGCGAACGCAGCAGCCAATTGCGCACAGCAATGTCCCACAAACAGTCGTAGATTGAAAATGACCAATTCTTGTTTTTGGTTTTGGAGAGATTATTATTAGGCTCTGTGTGCAGTAAGGAAACTTGCCCAAGGTTTCGCCCTCTGCCTGGAATTGAACTCAGGTCTCTCACTTGCAAAGCGAGTGCTCTAACCACTGAGCTACAGGACTCCACATACATACCTAAGGAGAAGGCAGATGATGCCCTTCATAGAAGCTTGTGGTAATGCTGCTTTAATTCACTACCACAAGATGATTGAGTGATAACATTCCTTGAGCACCATTTACTTTCCAGTGGGAAAGGACCTGGTCTCAAATCAGTGTCTAAATTGTTCGATAAACTAGGAACTGCAGGAATACACTTATATCCCGTTGTTCCATGAAATAACTCAGGGCATCAAGAAAAAGTTACCAAGAAAAATGTTTGTTCCTATGAGGACTTTCCCTTAATCTTAAGGAAAGATGCATCAAAATGATCTGAGAATGTGATGTGAAACATGTTTTACAGCATTGAAACAAAATAGCCTTCCAATTGTATCAACTGAACAGCAGAGAGTTTGCTAAGATAATAATGTATTAAACCTTGCCCCACTTTCTCACGAATGAAATATAATGATTTCATCATTAATGTGCAATTTTAAATAGTTTTCAACATTAATGCTATGAGGGGTGGGAACCTACAGCTTGATGATATTGTTAGCTGCTCTTGTTGTGAATAGTTTATAGAATAAGATGTTTTTTCTTGTACCTGTTTTTTTTCCATTTTGAAATATCGCTGTCTTATTGACATACACTTCCTTTTGTTGGCCGAATAAAACATCAACTCCTGATCAGTATGAGTTAGTGTTAATGACTTGTTTGTGAAATTATCCACAGGTAGAAAAGACATTGGGGATTGAAGCTGCTCGATCTACCATCATCAATGAGATCCAGTACACAATGGTTAACCACGGCATGAGCATTGACCGAAGACATGTTATGCTTTTATCAGACCTGATGACCTACAAGGTTAGAATCAGTTATAACAAACCAATTGTCCATAACAGTGAACATTCACCTCAAATGATTTGTTAAAAAGTGGCTGTAAAACCCTTGCAGTGACCATGAACCAGGTGATGGATTTGAATCCCTGCCTTGGTTGATAGATGTAAGCTGCCTGCTCTCAGATCTGTAAAATTGTTGCATAACCTTTGAGAGGGATCCATCTCAGTGTGTACTTTAGCAGTCCGAGCTATCTGTTACAAATAAATGTTGCGCAGATTAAACCCATGAGCAGGTTGCCACACATTTGGAGGGTGAATACAATCAGTATGTAGTGCATAAAATTCATCTAAAGTCATGTGGCCTATTCTTGTTTTATCCACCACCCTCCACTTCCCACAAATCATATTGCTCATAACAGCATTGAAAGCAGTTTCAAGCAGATGCTTAACTTCCTCATTCATGTGGCTAAAATGCTTTGAGATATTATCCTACCTCCAAAAAACATCCAAAAGCATGTTGTTTAGCCTTTCAAGAATGCACCATTTAAGGTTCTTAATATTTAACATTCTCTGTCAAGTATGAGGGGGGGAATCTTCTCATTGTATGATCTTTTTCTCCGCAGGGTGAAGTGTTGGGAATAACCCGATTTGGTTTGGCGAAAATGAAAGAAAGTGTTCTCATGTTGGCCTCATTCGAGAAAACTGCAGATCATCTCTTTGATGCAGCATACTTTGGACAAAAGGACTCGGTCTGTGGTAAGTCTGATCAGATCAGCAGATAGTTTATTGGGTGCATAATGCAATTGCTCCTCATGCTGATAACAGAGTATATACTTGGTTGATAGATGTTGGTTGCTGTAAAATTGTTGCGTAACCTTTGCAAGGGCTCCATGTCAGCGTGTACTTTAGCTCTCCTAGGATTATCAGTGGAGGTTGATTGGTTCATTGTTGGTAAATAGAGTGCAATTGTACTATTCTTGAAACTTATCCTAACTTTGTTCTATGAATTTCCATTGGAACTGGTGTGATATTTGTGAGCCAAGCTGTGAAGTATTTCAATCCTATAGGGATATTTTTTATGTAACAGATTCATCTCTTTGTCTCTAAAGGTGTGTCAGAGTGCATCATCATGGGGATACCTATGAACATTGGAACAGGCCTTTTCAAACTACTTCACAAAGCTGACAAGGATCCAGATCCACCCAAAAGACCTCTAATATTCGACAATAGTGAATTTCATATCCCATTAGTCACGTAGCAGGAAGAGCACGGTTTGCCTTGAGCAACTGAATTTTCTTTGACTGACTAGATTGATGGAAGTTTGCGATATGTTTGAATTCTACAGAAGTGTGTGGAGTTTGTTGGAGCTTGTTTGGATATACAGAGTATACCTGGGCACTTTCTAAAAGAGGATGTTATGCAATATAGGGGTGCCACGGAAATACAACAAGAAACTGATAAAAGGATATATTTAATGACAATTCCATCAGTCAAAGTAAGTTTTAATGTCAAAAGCGTTGCTTGAAAACATGGTCAAAAATTTCCCAAAGTCAAGACTGCCCATTAAAATTATATTTATACATTTAAGTGCTCTGTTAGTTATTAAGGATGATCAGTGGAGGTTGATGGTTTCATTGTGGGTAAATGGACTTAACGAGTTCTATTGTAATTTATTGCTGATAAGATCTGGGCAGACTAAACAGCTGAATGGGGACCTTTTAGATTATTTTACTGCAGCAAATGCTGTATTTAGAATTTTAAATTGTTATTTGAAATTTCCACTATAGACAAGTAAATAATTCAGCATTGTTACCGTTTTGGGAACGTGCATGTACACATTTTCATTTATTTTGGTTTTGGCCCACAGTTGGCTGCAAGAAACGTCACAGAGAAGAAGACGGGTGTTAAAGGGTGAATTGGGAAATGCTTGTCATGTAACTACAGTATGAGTATTTTTCTGCAAATAAAGGCAATCTTTGAAAAACAACTTGTGGGTATTTTGCATTCTGATTACTGTTTTCTGCAACATACACAATGAGAATTCATAGATACAGAGAGCTCTGAGGAAAACTGCAGTGCTCTTTAATACTATACAGCTGCATTCGGCTAACTCTACACTTCTGCCCTACTTTACTTTTCCCATTGACAGAGAACAATTAGTTTCACCTCCCCAGTTTCAGTCATTTCTCTTCCTGCCTAGTCTATTGCTGCTGAGTTATGATGGTTTAGTGACAATGGATTTCACTACATTGCCCAAGTCTTCTATTCAGGTGTGAGCTGATTCTTAGCATTCCACGCAACCATAATTCATGTTCAACTTATCCACATCCAAATACTGTAGTTGGTGTCATTCTTGCAATTTTGGCACTTAAATTCCAAGTTAAACAATACATTGTTTAACTCTCACATAAAAGTACAATTTCCTCTCGCTCAAAGAGAAAAATTACACCTACATGTCAGGTGAATAGATATTTCTCAGCTTTAGAACCAGTAATTGGATCAGAGACACAATGGAAACTAAAGGCAAATTTTATATAAAAATATTTACATACATTCATTCACATCAGTGATCCAACAATCAGGCTCAAAAACTCACATTAGATACTTTTAGACAAAGGCTACCAAATCTTTAACCAGGCATTTCAAGTAATAGAAACAGGTTTACATTTTTTTTTAAACTTTGCTAACATGGCTGTTTCAGCTGTAGCACTGGTGCTCCAATGAATCTGAGATCAATAATCATGTCAATAGTTGTAATAACAGCAAAAGCGATTCAAAATATATTACTACCATGTGCTGATCAGTGCTGATTTACATAGAGGCTGAATGAGTTTACCTTGCAAAATGAGTATCAAATTTCTGTAGCAGCACATTATTCATTTTAAGACTATATATAAATGGGGGAAGAACAAAAATGTCTAGAGTTTCTCAGTTGCCTTATAAATACATGTGGAATCCAAGTATGTTTTTCCTATAATATTGTGTTTCTCACTTTTACAGTTCACAAAAACACATGGAGATGTAACTAACAATGGGCTGGGTGGACGCAATAGTCAACAACTAACTAGAAAGAAGAATATGTGGGATATTGGAACCTCAGTGAATGTTCAAGATGAACATTAAGAGTGTTTCTTTCTTTACAGTACTTGTAAAATACTAATTTGAATACCAGTTTGTGTGCAATTCCATACATTATTTCTGTTTTTTGTTGGTTGATACTAACTTCCCATTTTTGAAACCATTCCGACTGTGACTGCTTTTAGCCTTACGTGGTAAAATGTTTCTCTTTAACTTTCTTACCAGTTTTAAAGAACAGTAACAAGTTAAAGCTACCCCAAGTGTGACCAGAGCAAGCACATCGAGCAGATAATACTGATAGAAGGAAATGTCATACAGAGCAGGACGTAGATGATTCGCTCCGTGGTGTCGGAGCACATACTCTATCCAGTAAATGGTGCGGTTCACAGGGTGAAGCGGTTGGTCCCGGTGCAGTTTGGATAAATGCAAAGCCTGTTTCTTGTACCTGGTGACAAATACAGACTACATGGTTATAATTCTTATTTTATTCCTTCCTTTAACGTTTCACGTATATCGTAGAAGAGTATTTGCATCTTATAGTACAAGTGTGTTTAATTGTTAATGGCTGACGAACCTCAACTCCTACTCATTATGTAGGAACAAAAGGAATAATATTTTCAGATGTACCAAGAAAGAGAAGAGGACATAGGTTTAGAATTCTAAAGGGCAGACACCAGGAAGTACAGTACTTCTTTACCCAGAAGATAATTAATGACTGGAGCAGGCCACCAGGAAGGGTGGTTGTAGCCAGGGAGCTGAATTCATTAAAAAAAATTGTTTAATACTGTGCTAAGAAGATGGTAAGGTGGGGCATTCTGGAAAGAACAAATGGGCTGAAGGACCATCCAAACTAATCTAGTGAATCTCCAGAGATCAATATTAACATCCCTACCCCTCATGTTGCTATATAATAATCCTATCAAAAATAATAATTATTATTTAGTCACTCAATCCACGACTATTTGTGGGACACTGCTGTGCACAATTGGCTGCCATGTTCGACCCACAAAAATATACATTCAATTCACTTTACAATATATTCTGTGAAGCACTTTGAGACGTCTCAATGACATGATAAGGTGCTATATCAAATGCAATGCTTATTTTTATTTATATATTGTCTATCTCTTCATATTATAGGTACATTTGTCTGTTTGCACAGAACCTCAGTGAAGGTGCTGTCACCCCCCNACTGGATCATTAAGTATCTTTCTCCAAAATTAAAGTGTTTTGGTTACTATAAAACATGTCCACAAATTACAGACTTATAGCCCTGATTAAGGGACAGAAGCAAATAAAGAATTTGTGTTCCATGAAACTGAGCGCAGTGGTACAAACGTATAGAAAGCCGAATGTCCATGCCCTACCTTGAATGTGTGGTCACTCTGACCATGGCTTGGTAAATATCCTCTTCTGTCATGCTGTTCCAAGACAGAAAAATCCCCATTCCTTTCGCATGGACTCTGGTCATAATGTCATAGTGGTCACCAAAGAATGGAATGCCTACCACTGGGACACCGTGATAAATGGATTCAAAGATGCCATTCAGCCCACCATGGCTGAAAAATGCCTTTACATTTGGGTGACCTAAAACAATTCAACACATTGAGCTGAATGATCAAGTTTACACAAGTGCACACATCAGCCTCAAATCAGCAGGTGGGCCACACACAATTGTTCATTTTATTTAATGAGCACTAATCGGGACAGCCTGTGTTAATTGGGACAGCCTGCCCATTTAACAAATTGTTACCATATGTAAAGCACATCAGTTATAACATTGCGCAGCCGTTAATAGCAATATTCATTTTCACAGGCACTGTTAATTGCCCAGAGACTCTGCACTGTTTGCATCTTAAATAAAGGGAATGTTTTCAGAGAGGAAGCTCAGCTCTGCATTATCAGCCAATTGGTGCCTGAAATGTTTTTCCTTTACAATGCGTAATAAGGAAATTTAATGTACAACATATTTTAGGATTGATAGATTATATCCTCTAATAAATGATAGATTATATCCTCTAATAAATGAAGTCCTCTAAGCAGTGCATTCCACAGTGCATAAATCATCGGGTTTAAAATTAAATGCAATAAAACAAAAGTTTCCCTCCAGAGCATATTCTAAAATCATAATAATAATATAAACCTGCTTGAGATAGAGGGAGCTAAACTGATAATACAAATTAAAAACTGAAAATACACAGAGTACAATCGCTAAATATATTGTAATTTCATTCTATCCACTGATTGAATAATCCATTTGAAATAATCTGATCGGGAAGGTTATAAGGTATATATCATAAATATATATATATACAAACACACACATACACACATACCTTATTAATAAGGTATATATAATAAACTGGTATATAGATATATACACATACACAGATATATACACAGTATGTATATAATCTATTGGCTCAAATGATTATTAGTAACAAAGTATTAAACAAAAAACTATTTGACTCATCAAAATCTTCCTCTCTCTCACATGCACAAATTGACTGTCTAGTACATCAACAACAACAAAATTACATTTGTATAGCGTCTTTCACATCGGGAGGATGTCCCAAGGCGCTGGACAGACAGAGTTATGGACCAGAGCTGGGGCGGTCAGGGTGGAGGTCAGGCGGGCATACAGGGAGATCGAAAGCATGGTTGAAGAGGTGGGTCTTGAAGGTGGCAAGGAAGGGGATGAGATGGAGGGACTGCGGGATGGAGTTCCAGAGGGTGGGTACAGAGTGGCGGAAGGCCCGCTCGCCAATAATGGGGCGAACAAGGCGGGGGATGTGAAGCAGGCCGGAGCCCGCTGAACGGAGGGAGCGAACAGGATGGTAGGGATTTAGGAGGTCGGAGATGTAGGGGGGAGCAAGATCATGGAGGGCTTTGAAGGTGAGGACCAGGATCTTGAACTGTATTCTCTGTGTGATGGAAAGCCAGTGGAGTTGGATAAGGATGGGGGTGATAGGGTCGCGGATCCTAGTGCAGGAGGGGACACAAGCTGCAGAGTTCTGAATGATCTGCAGCCTGTGGAGAGAGGAGTTGGGGAAGCTAACAAGCAATAAGTTTGCATAGTCGAGCCTCGATGTAATGAAAGCATATATGAGGGTTTTGGCGGCCTGAGGTGTGAGACAGTGTCGGAGACGGGCAACGTTGCGGAGGTGGGGAAAGGCGGAGCAGGTCACGGTGCAGATGTGGGGTAGAAAGGATAGTTGAAAGTCAAACAAGACTCCAAGGTTCCGGACTGGCTTAGTAAGGTGGAGTGTGCAACCATGGATGGTGATGCTATCAGCACCTGAGGTGAGGAGGCGCTGACAGGAGCAAATCAGGAGAGCCTCGGTCTTGTTGACGTTCAACTGAAGAAAGTTAGCTCTCATCCAGGACTTGATATCTGACAGACATTCTGTCAGCACAGCAGTGGTCCTGGAGTCAAGGGTGGAGGCAGAGAGGTAGAGTTGGGTGTCATCCGCGTACCCAGATAGAATACCCAGAACCATAGAAATTTACAGCAGGGAAGAAGGCCATTCAACCCATCATGTCTTTGTTGGTTCATTGAAAGAACAATGTAATCAGTCCTATTTGTCTGTCTTTTCCCCATTTCCATATAAATTACTCTCTTGTAGATATCTATTAAGTTTCTTCTTGAAAACTAATTCTACCTCAATCACCACACCTAGCAATGCATTCCACAGCCAAACAATGTTTTGTGTAACAACAATCCTCCTCATCTCCCCCTTTGCTAATTAGTTTAAATTGATACCTTTCAGTCACTGGTTCACAGAGCTACATATACAGTGGCCATAGTGAGGGAAGGTAATGATTAAGACATAAGTAGAAATCAGGAGGTGAAAACATGTCAGATTACTGATCTGACAGATTACTTATAACTGTTAACAATAATACCCAAATACCTTAGTTTAACAGTATTGTAATTCACTTGGTATCATTCCCTGCTGTTTGCAATTCAGCCTAAATTTTGTCAAAATAATGCTGCATTTTAGGTGGTGTGTCTTATCTCCTCGCTGTATGATCATTTATTTGGCTGATAATTATTTACCAAAGGAAAGAATGTATCCAGGATCAAGGTTACAAAGTTGTTGGTACATACCTAATAAATCATTCTGTGGTATCCACTCCATCAGTTTTGTGTTGTTTCCCAAGCACCTTGGTTTTTTTCCAAAATATCTGGGAGTTGAAAGGATAAAAAGAAAACGTTTGATGTCAGCCAGGAGCCTTGGTGCCATTCTTCTTATTTCATCTATTACAGAAAAGATGTTGTTCAACATGCAATGTAATCTATGTATTGAACATAGAAAGAAATTGTGGGAGGCAGCACTGAATGTAGATTTGTAAACTACTTACAAGTACTTACTTTTAAAAGTTCTCACAATATTTACCTAGTGTGAGATGCCTTAATTTGGTAGCATATAGTTGGGCTCTTCACTTTGGGTGAGGCATCTGATGGCCCAGCTGAGATTGGGAATGTAACTAAGCAGTATCTCTCACTGATGTAGTTAATGATTACCACCTACTCTCCAAATTACATGAGTGCTTTGAACTTTGAGGAGGTAAAACAGTAACGAAAGCATCATGGAAAACACAAGGTGTGTGTCTGGGTCCAATTAATTTTTTAGGATCATTTTTTTTCTTTCCAAGGGTTCCCATGCTGCGTGTCTACCAGTGTTCAACAGGGGGGGATGGACAACTGATGTCCAAAACCCAACACCACTGGTAATGTCCTCCTCACAGCAGGATGGAGCTATCTTCCTTAGTGCACATTGTGCTGCTTTGGCAACACATTTCTTCCTTCAACATTGACACATTTACACTTGATAGTCAGAATTTTAATTTAGTTTGTTTGAGTAAAATGGCTGAATACTTACCTCCAAAGGACTTTCTGAGGCAGGCGAGCAAAAGCTGCCGCTAGCTTTTCTGCTAAATCATCCGAAAGATGTTTAACTCCAGCACCAAAGGATATCACCGCCACACCACTGTGGGCACTTTCCACCCAGGTAGCCAGATCCTTCAAAACAAACAGGCAAATAATATTGGTGTCCTTACATACAGACTTACATGCACAAAATGTTGTTACTTGATTCTATAAAGCACCAGTGGCCTTGCCTCACCTAAAATTTCCATGTCTGGAGGTAAGCAAAACCGGCAAAGGAGCAAACTCCACAGGAGAGGCCAAGACATTACGTATATGCAAAGGGCCCATTTTTTTAAATTGCCATATGATACTGTGAGATACAGTACAAATAGTATATCAAGTGCTGCGCAGGCATGGTAACAAGATAGTTTGGTTAGGGATTGAATACAGGAACCCTCCCTTTCCTCAAGTCAACCGATGTATCTATCATCCAACAGGAAAATTAATGCATTCATCTCAATAGATGACCAGGATTAGGCTCCTGCTGGCCTGCCAGTGAAATACACATAGACTTGTCAGCAGAGGATGTCTAGGAGACCATTCAGTCATATATTTAGTTTCAAATGTGCTGAAGGTCTCTGTTGCTCACAGCCCCCTAGAACTTCAGATAGAGCCTTTTTCTCTAACAGACCATACACACAACGCCAAACCATAGACACAACTAATAATGTTTTACATTATTAAAAAAGTGATACTGTGAACTACAGTACAAATACTCTATCAAATCCTGGGCATACATTTTTCCTGTGAATGTCACAATAAACTCATACCTTTACCTATCATGCCAGTATCCAGTCAGGTTTGCTCACTGGATAAATACCCCACCCAGTGAGATTGACTAAAAATAAACTATATACTTTTCCAGCTTTGTTTTGCAAAAAATTGCCAAAACAAGCTAAGAAAAAGGATACTTGTCCGTCAGAAATCTAACCTGCACTGAATATACAGCCAGAGTCATTGAGGACATGGGAGGCTTCTTCAAAGGGAATTATTCTGCACAGCCAAGTCTTGCCAATTACCATCTCTCGAGAGGATTACAGCATCTGCGCTTGCTCTACAGTCAGCTTGATGACATCTAGATATCAACAGGTCTCACATCAAGCAGCTGGCTGCAACCTCCAACCACAAACAAACAACTAGGCTTTAATTTCTGATCATACTGATTTTACAGTGTATACGTCCAGAGAGGAAGACAAGATAAAACAATAGCTTCCTTTTACTTACTCATTTTCTGCATGAACAAAGATCTGCACACGTACCAAAGCACAAATTGAATCTTTGCCAGATTGCTCTCTTAAGATTTCCAGACAAATGGAGTCATGCTTTTAAGGACAGTACATTTTAACCACATGCGAAAAAGGCTTAACATCACAGGGAAAGTTAAAAAGAAATTGCAATACTTCCCTGCCCTATATAGTACATTCTATTTATAGTATTGAGGATGGTTGTCTTATAATTAAACTAGTAGAGAATCACTGTTAAGTTTGGTTTCACTTTAATGAGCATGGAGTTCTGGTAAATTTTCATAGTTCTGTAAATTGCTTCTCATCTCTCCGCAGAGGTGAACTGGGTAGTACCTTGAATTTGTGTTACCTTCCCACCCACCGCTACTTACCTCACCAGTGAGTCACTGAACTGATATAAATAACAATCATTTGATTCAAATTAAAAGCAAAAACACGGAAATATATTTCTGTGATTTGTAATTTACCTGCTGTATAGAAAGGGGGCCACTCTGAAATACTTGAATCTCTATACAACTGTGAGTGTCAGAAAGATTTGCTCCAAGCTCTCTGTTCAGGAACAGTGTAGAACCAGCAAACTAGCTGCTCAGAACCAGCTACAGAAATCTAATAATAATAATCCTTGCATTTGATTTAGCTCCTTTTCACGCCATCGAGATATCTCAAAGTGCTTCACACAATATATTGTGAAGTGAATTGATTGTATATTTTGTGGGCGAAACACGGCAGCCTAATTGCAAATGGCAATGTCCCACAAACAGACGTTTATGTAATATTATTATTATATACTAATAATGTTGTCACTAAGGCATAGCTAAAAAAGGGAGTTTAGGAGGAACATCTTCACACAGAGGGAAGTGAGAATGTGGAAATCACTGCCAGAACCTGGTGTTGAAGAAGAAAGCAGTAATGTATTTAAGAGGAAACTTGATGCATAAATCAGGGAGAAGGAAATAGAGGAGTTTAGGAGCTGTTAAGGCTCATGTGTAATATAAACACCAGCATTGACTAATTGGTCCGTACATCCCGTTTCCACCCTGTAATAGTCCATATAATTCGGTGTAACCGTGAAAATTGCAAAAATGCAAAATTATAAAGGCCTTGATTGGGAATTAATAGATAGGTTGATAGACATTTGCTCACATTTTAAATTATTGCACAACGAAGCATGTGAAATAAATAATCAATGAGTCATTAAAATGACAAAGTGTTGTAAAGCTATTGGAATCATTAGTAAATGGTGTAACCTTGGTTCAGGTGTAAGCTTTGTTTAATCATCTTCACACAGAAGTGTATCTTACTCGGCTTCCCTACCTCAGATAAGAACAACCTACCCACGAGAAGGGACTACAGTGGCGGACAATGTACACAACTTAAAAAGAGGTGATCTAATTGACGTTTACAAGGAACAAAACTAAAAACTATAAACTGAATCCTAATAACATGCTTAATATTGTCCAAAAATCTGGAACAAGTGGCCCCAGATTCAAGCTCAGAAGAAGAAAAAGTGAACAGACAGCCAAGATTTAATTATGTTACACAGAAAGTGGTGGCTATGTGCAATAGACTGCCTCCGCACATTGAAGGCAGACTGTGCAGGCAAAATCAAAGGGAATTAGATAGAACTATTTGATGGAGACTTTGAGTGGGGGGTTTGTGCGATAGGATAGTGTAGTTTGTATTTTTATTATTTTCCTCTTTGAGATTGGCCAGAGGGACCACAATTCTCTTTTCTAATATTATAAAGTTTTTAGTTCTGTTCCTTACTGACACTCTTGGGTAATACATGTTTTTAATAATAATCCTTGCAATTGATATAGCACCTTATCTCATTGTCAAAACATCTCAAAGAGCTTCACAGGATTTTCTGTGGAGTGTAGTGACTATGTGTTTGTACGCAAACGCAACAGCTAATTTGTGTACAGAAACGTGCCCACAAGTAGCCATGAAGTGAATGAAGTTTTAAGTGGCACTGAACAACATTTGTTGGTAACTCTACATTTGCTTTCTATTCGCTATTTGGAGGTTCATCTATTAAAAACAAAACTTACTTCCGGCAATGGATTTGCAGCTTTTGTGAGGACTCCTCCCACAAACGCGATGTTGGGCAGACTGGGTCTCGGAAACTCAAGAGCTACATCAGTACCAAGAAGAAACATGCTGGTGTCCTGGATTAGCTCCATCATGGATTTGGAGTTTTTACTATGTTTCTTCAAAATCGCGTCATACTTGGGAAGGATAACATATTTGGTGCCTATTCTGCTGACAGTGTAAATCAAAGCATTCCAAGCACGCTCCAGTAGATTCATCCGATCCGTCATCAGGGAGTTAAACTCTGGAACGTAAGAGAGCGACGAAGGTGCCCCAAGCTCAGCTGGAAACCAGAGTCCAGTGGAGAACATGATGTGCTTCACACCCAGGATTTGAGCGTAGACAAAGCCACACATTTCATTCGGGTCAACCAGCAACAAATCAAACTGTTCTTCTTTCAGCCTATGTGCCAAGTCTTGATTTCTCACCATGATGTCACAGTTAGCAGTGTATCTGTCCAAAATGGTGAAGAGTTCCAGCGAAGTTAACTTCCCCGCGAAGATATTCCTCATTTTCTCCTGAAGAAAGTCATCCGCACTTTGTGTGGTAAATAGTCCTGGGTACTGCTGAATTCTGTAGTATGGTGACTCCTCAATTTTTCTGCCAATTGACACCACAATAACCATCTCATGCCCCTGTTCATGCAATGCCTTTGCCAGGGTTTTAAATATGAACAAATGGCTTTCAAACATGTTTGGGGGGATTACCATCATTTTAGCAGCCATGGAAAATTTCAAGGTGGCAAAAGTCAACGTGAAGAGTAGAAGGGCAAAGAATAATGGATTCATTTCTGAAAAGAAACAAACGAGCAAATGACATTCTCGATAGTATTCTTGCAGTTAGATAGAATGCGTCAGTAAAACATTTTAACGTCAATTTTCCTTTGAAAAACAAATTCTGGACAATTAATTAAAGTGTCCAAGTACTCTCCCCTTTCCATCTTCTGGGTGTATGGTTTGAACGCCCCAGTTACCCTCCAGTACCATTTCCAAGTGGTTGTTCTTCGTGTAATGCTGGCGTGTATTGGTCTTTACGGTTAGTTTGAGCTGATTACTTGACCACAAGGAGTAACAGTGCTGAGCCCAATCCCATCATCATTAAATGTCCATTGTAGCTCAGTGGTTAGAGCACTCGCCTTGCAAGCATGAGAGACCTGGGTCCAATTCCTAGCAGGACGAAATGTTGGTCAAGTTTCCTTACTCCACACGCCTCTGTTTAACTAGCAGTAAGTAGGAACCCAGTTGTTAGTCGATTGGCGGATCGCTTTTCCAGGGGTAATAATTCCTTCAAAAAAAATAATATTAATAAATTGGTCACTCAATCCACGACTGTTTGTGGGGACACTGCTATACGCAATTGGCTGCCACTTTTCGCCCATAAAATATGTTGTGAATTCACTTTACAATATATTCTGTGAAGCACTTTGAGACATCTTGAAGATGTGACAAGGCGCTATATCAAATGCAAGGATTATTATTATTATCATCCAGCACAACTCTCAGTTGCCATCAAAGTAGTAACCTTTTCCGTTCTAGGTTCCATAGAACATTTTTAGTAATTCATTTGAATACAGATCTCCATTGCACTATGCATTCATTCAATAAATCATACTATGTTAAACAGTTCTCACAATAGCCAATTATCTAGTTGATGAATCTAATCTGGCTTTGAAGACTGAATAACATGTTTCAGAGGTTGATGCACTGTGCTGTCTGTTTGTTATTTGGTTGCAGGAATAACCATTAAATTCCACTGGTGTAAATAATATTAATGTATTTTAAAAAAAGGAACAAGAATGTCAGCCAGGCTCAGTTAGTAGCCCTCTCACCTGAGTCAGTGTGTGCTACATTGTTGCTACCCTGCATTAAATTGAGGTCCCATCTACCTGTTCAGGCGGATGTTAAAGACCTCATGGCATTATTCCAAAAGAGAACAGAGTTTCCCCCGGTGTCCTAGCCAACAATCCCCCAAATGGTTGTTCATGAGTCATTGCTGTACACTAAATGGCTGCCGCGTTCATCGGCAAAACAGACTGTCACCAAACTTTACAATATAATAATACTCCTTGCATTTGATATAGTGCTTTTCACGTCTTCTAGATGTCTCAAAGCGCTTCACAGAATATACTGTAAAGTGAATTGGCTGTATATTTGTGGGCGAAATGCGGCAGCCAATTGCGCACAGCAGTGTCCCACAAACAGTCGTGGTTTGAAGGGACCTATTTATTATTGTTTTATTTTCTTGAGGGATTATTATCAGGCGTGTGGAGTAAGGAAACTTGCCAAGGTTTCACCCTGCCAGGAATCGAACCCAGGTCTCGCTTACATGTAAGAGGAAGAATATTAGATCTAACCCGTGAAGCACTTTGAGACACCCTCCTATAGTTTTGCATAGCGATTCAATGTCACAAAATACCCAACAAAATGCAAGTGCTGATGTGAGTTATTAAATTCTGAATCTCTTGTGAACTATTTAGTGATAGCAGAGTATAATGAAATAATGAGGGTGACTTTCAAAAGGCCCCAATAAGTTTTAGGAGCTTCAAATTCGCCCTTCCTGTCAATGAACTTCACCTTTCACTGCACAGCAAATAGGCCAACTTTAAAATAAACTCAATTTATCAACAGCGTATTAGCCTTCCTGCATTAGATTAGGTTAAAGTGCAGCCTTGGTGAGTGGGGGATGGTGTTTGTCATTCTAGAGGGCATGGAATGCTATTTAAGAACAGAATGAACATGAACATTTGAATGAATTTGAATGAACGTTTTCCTAAAGTTCACAGGCTCTGCATTCAAAGATTCAGTATTTGTTTGCTTTCTCCTCCTCACAGTAGCGTAAATGCAAATACTGTAGCTGTCAGCACAACAATGAATTGTACTCCCCAATTTCTCTCCAGCCCTTGCAAATAGCAAATAGCAAATCAACTCGTGCTGAAGTACAGTTCCATATGTTCTGAACCTTGCCTCAATAATATGACTGACTATTCTTCACCTGTGAGTCCTGGCAAGCTTTGAACTGTAACAGTGCCAGGGACAAGTCTGATTCTCTCCTCCAGAGATCTATGTGTTCTTAGATTTAATATATTTTTCCAATTTAAGTTTGGGGCAGAAACGTTTCCTTTGCTCAACTCATTCACATTGAAGTAACCGAAAGTCAGATGTGGAATTTATGCAGAACCACATTTGGAGTTTTGTGTCTAGTTTTGTTCTCCACACTGTAAGAAGGATGTAGCAGCAATGGAAAGAGTAGGTGTGCGAGGCTAATACCAGGGCTGGCATGTTATTGCTATCAGGATAGACTAGATAGGTTAGGCCATTTTTTCCACTAGAGAAGAAACATTTAAGAGGGGACTTAATAGAAGTGTATAAAATTATAAAAGTGGTTGATATTATAAAGGCCTTAATTCAAGATATTTATTAAATTATACATACACCTTTGCTATATTACGTTTTCATAGAAGTTCAAACATAGAAGTTAAAGATCAATTTGCTGTGCAGTAACTTGTTTAGTAAGTGGTCCTATTCAGCCCTGCTTTATATATTCATAGAATCACCAAAACCAGGCGGTACAGTATCACAAGTAGTTCTGCTTGAGCAATACCTCAGCCTGCCACAGTGAATGTAAAGTTTACATTATTTTGCTGCACTGGCTGAATTTAAGCAAGAAATTGAATACGATTCGAAACAGCGTAGTTTTTGCTTTCTCAATAAGCTCACTTGCACCTCACGACTCACCTGAAAGGAAAGCTGCTTTGTTTCATGCACCAGGTGGCTGATTATAAGCAACACTTAATCAGTAAACCAACTCTCTAGAGGCCCTGCCTGCAGCACCCAGGGAACCAAGAGCAACTGGTTTAGCAAACACTAACTGAATTGCAAACATTTCTAATCACCATTTCTGACTTCTTAGCACTTCATTTCTCTTTCGCTACACAGTTAAAACCCAAAAGAAAGAACATCAGCTCAACACAAGCTAACTCCCACTCTTTGTCTTTCTTACAGTGAAGGTCGTACCTGAAGGTTGGGAAGGTGAGTTGGTCGTTGCTGGTTGAATCTGAAGTGCTCACAGGTTACAGTACTACCTTGTGCCCTGTTAAACATGAGGGTGTGTACTTAGAGTAACACCTCATTTCCTATCTGATTGGACTGCCCTAAACTCCAGGTTACAACCAATCCAATGCCCTTTGATACCGGAAAAACACTATCAAAGGACATTCCAGCATAACTTTAGGATCAGTTGGCCCCACCCCTTTTACAGCAGACGTTTCTGGGTTACTTTCAAGCACTTAGCTGAGTAACAATGAACCTGTATCTCAGCAAATCACCCACTGGAGCTTCATTAATAATTTTGGCATCTTCGGATTCTTCACATCTGAAGGGAAACCTGTCCTACTGGTTTTCAACTGAACCTGCGGTTTCATTCTTTCATCAAATAGGGGCTAGGCTAAAGCTGAGATCAGCGAGACTGAACCTGTAAGATTCTCATCGGCAAAACAGTCCCACCCACAGTGGCTCCTGTGTCTGCGGTGGGGAGGAACTGGGGTCTCCAACCTTTTATATGAGTGCCCAATAGAGGTGTTGAAGGACTGTGTAAACTGGAGTACTTGGCCACTAATATATATAATAATTCCTTACAGTTGAGGTAGCACTTTTCACATTGGGAGGATATCCCAAAGCGCTTAACAGGATATACTGTAAGGTGGAATTTAGTAATCTTGTTGACTGTCCGCTTTCAAACAAACATAGCAGCCAATTTGGGTGCAGCAATTTCCCAAAGTAACTGTGTAAAGTGGTGCAATGTTTAGGAACTCACCTAGAGGGGCTGTATGCATGATTAAATAATTATGGACTGACTTATGGAATGTCAGGATGGACTTGTCTCACTTTAGAAGTTGGGCTAAGAACTATATGTTTGGAGTAATTTTATAATATAACTAAAGTAATTTGGAACAGGAGGAATAAGACAGAAAAAACTTTTTCAACATTTTCCCTGCCCAATCGTCTCCCTCTCCTGAGGCAACTCACCTGGGATACAGTGCTGTGGGTCCTGGGGTACGGTTCCGAGCTGCTGCAGTGCAGTTCAAGGGATGCTGCGATGCCGGTCCACAGGCGATGGAATGCGGTCCACAAAGCAAGTCCTCGAACAACAACAAGATTACATTTGTATTGCGCCTTTCACGTCAGGAGGACGTCCCAAGGTGCTGGACAGTGTACAGCATTTCAGACTCGAGCTGGGGTCAAGGGGGAGAAGGGAGGGGGTGACTGATGGCATGTAAAATCTCATGGCTGCCATCTTTGGTAAAGCTCTAGTTATTGTCTGGTTTTCAGCTATTGCGCAAGACGTAAAAAAACAGTAGAAACTGATCTAATAGGATAACCTTCAGAAATTGTATTTTTAGAAAAATAGATTAGACAAAAAGTCCCATGTCTACTTGATGGATGGTTCAAGGATGTTTTGCGATTTTTGAAACAGTCACAAAATGAATATTCCTTTTGATCTGACATGTGTTTGGGGGGAGGAAGGGGCAGCAGTATTTTGGCCAGTACACTGGGAGGAATCCCCTTCTATTTTCAAATAGTGTGTACAGAATACAACGTTTTACAACTTTTTGGTGGGGGGAGTGCGGGACGGGAGAGGGAAAGTAAACCACTGGAATTCACAACATAACAAAAAAGCACAAGTACGATTAAGGGAGAATTTAGAGTTCCAGTTAAAACAGTGGATGCTGGACTGGCGAGGAACAATGGCAGGTAACCCTCACACTTGTGTTGGGTTTACTCTGGTTGAAACTACATTGTATAGGTTGAACGTTTCATGTGTCAACTGATAAATGTTAGCTTCATCGTCAAGTGAGGCTCATATAATATACTAATAGCTATCAAGTTCAACTGCTCACCAGAAGCAGGAAAGGCCCTTGATTCAACTAAATACTATATTTTGATGGAATACTTGACTACAACATTTCATTTATAGAGTGCCTTTCGTGTCGGGAGGACGTCCCAAGGTGCTAGAGTTCCAGAGCCTAGGGGCTGAAAGCCCGGCCACCGATGGTAGGGCGGTTGGGGCGGGGGATGTGGAGCAGACCGGAGCCAGAGGAACGGAGGGTATGTGCAGGTAAGTAGGGGGATAGTAGGTCAGAGAGGTAGGAGGGAGCAAGGCCGTGAATGGCCTTGTAGGTGAGGATGAGGATCTTGAATTCGATCCTCTCGGGGATGGGAAGCCAGTGGAGGCTATATGGGCAGATGAGACTGGATGTGTTCTAATTGAAGGCAAGTCTTTAATTCCAAGTTTAATTAACTAGTTTAAGTTGTGATGGTGCACACAGGATGGAGTGTATCTGAAATGTACCTTGTGCACATCCCAATAACAATCACTCCCTGCCATGGTTTGTGGAACACTGCCCTGTGCAACTGGCTGCCACGTTTCACGTGTGCTCATGTGTGCACACACACAATGTGATAAGGCGCTGTATCAAATGCAAGGATCATCATCATCACCACACAAGGTAAACAACAGAGTTGAAAATACTTTAGCTTAAGACATGGTTTATTGAATGTCAACACCTGGTGTTACTTACAAAGTTTCCATAATTTTCTTGTTATATGAACGATTTGAACAAAACATTATCATTCCAATACTCACACGGAACTACAGTCAGTTTAAAATACCATATTCTGAAATTAATGCTGAATCCAGTTGTTCATACAGAAAGCACAAAGTTCAACAAAAAAATAGAACAGTTTAAAATTAGGATTTTGAAGCTTCGTCTGAAACAAATCAGTTTCAAAAGATTAAACCATTTACTTTTTTTAAAAAAGGGCACAATACTGAAACTACATAGTCCAAACATGTTATCTTAAATTAAGTATTGCATGGAAATTATTTAATCACTGTCAAATTTGACTGAATTCACAGCCATGTCAATCTGGCCACCACAGTAGCTGCCTCGCTTTTTCTTGGTCTTTTCATGTCTGAAGGATTTTCCTTTTGTGAACTTTAGGGTGTTATTGGCCTTTTCGCCCCAGTCTCCTTGCGCTCCTTTCTATAACAAAACATCAATGCTTTTACTCACAATGAAAATTGGAGCTAGTTCTCTTTCAGAACTAGCTTACTAACAGTAAGTCAGAAGCATTGCATTTTATTAACTCAGCTCTAATATGTTCTCTAAAGACATCAAATATAAACACGTTACTGCACGTCAGAAATTAAGACTCAGTGGAACACTTTGTCAGATCAAATTTCAAGTTCAAAGTCCAGGTTCATCCATGCTTTACCTGTCCAGCTGAGGCAATGAACTAACTGTACACAACCACCAAGTTTTTCATAGCTCAGCATCGAGAACTACGACACACCAATGATTTGGGAGGTACTTTTTAAATAACAGTTGAAATAAACACAACTCATTGTATTAAAGGCTATTTAATATTCCACCAATCACAGTATGAAACCACCCATCAGTCTATAGCTTTCTCCCCCAGTGTATTTCAGGTCACCCTGCTTAAAAATATTTTAAACAAGTGCAACAGATTGAAGAATAATTCACACAAGACTTTGCTGGGCAATTGGCAATAAAAACAAAAGCAGCTTTGAAATGGAGAGAATTACTTAATTCAATCTTACCTTTGCAGAAAATGAGTTATTTGAAAGGCGCGGGTCAATTTCAATTTCATCTTCTCTTACTCTACGGAAAGGAGTATTAGGTTGAGGGGTCTTTATACACAAGGGAAAAAGAGGACAATAAGAAAGCTACACTCTACATGAAAGGGCAATAGCTAAAATTAAAATCTTCATTTGAATACTAACACTCACTGTTATTTAATGTTTACGTTCCTGTGGCCCTGCTGGGAATGCACAGCAAAAGTCTGTCTATGAGATAGTGACTAGTTTCCTGATGTTGCAATCTGAACTTCAGAATATCCTTGTCTGCAGTCTCCCCTGCCACCCCAAGTTTACTAAAGTGGCAGCAGAACTTGTAAGAAATCTAGCACAAATTAGGTTGTTTGCTCCTGCCTTGCCCTTTTCATGCTTTATAGATATTAAGCACTAAATTAACAAAATGCAAATTCTGAATAGAAGAAGTAAGAGAGAATTTAATAATCAAAGTAATACTACCTTGGATTCAGTTGTCACCTTGGCTGATTTATTTTTCTGCAAAGGAATCAAACATTACAGTTTAGTTATTCATGGCTTAAATCTAAGGAATTAAAGGTTTTGCGAATTAAGTTTGTGCATTATCTTAACATTCATAGCTCAAACTACCGTTCTTCAAAATCTGATACAACTAGAATTCTAACACTGTCAAGCAATAATGACTCAATAATGGTTTTCAGCAGTCCCACCTTTTTAACTTGTGGAAATGTGTTTGGGGTTTTTGGTTCCAGATTCTGATTGGCTGGTGTTGAGCAAACTTTTTCATCCTCAGTTTCTGACGAAGAGGAGCTTTCTTGTTTCCTCTTGGTATTCACAGTTCCTGGAGTTAAACACCACATGTCAGACATTGCAAAGTTGAATCTGAACTAGAGGGCTGGCAGGATGTTGATGAACATCATTTGAAATAATGGGGTCACGATGATATTTAGCTATAAAGACAATCTACTTCCACATTTGATAGTAAACTTTGATAGTGTTATTACAAATAGGTACAATCATACAACAATTGTACAACTAAATTATACAAATAAAGATGTACAAACTGAAGGTATGAATACTAGAATCAGAATTCTACAGTACAGGAGGATGCTATTCAAAATTAAATCTTGTGCTAAAACATCTGTGAAAAAATGCCTGCTGGTCCTGCTTTTGGGTCATCACCAGTTCCACAATGGGATGACCACTTCTGGTAGGTACATGTCCACAGGACACCGACATTTTAAGTGGACTGTGCTCCAATAAGGCATCTCATGTAGGGGGATGCAGATCAGACCATGTCCCCAGACCAAAACTGCTGCATCCATTTAGGTACAAGGGTCAACAAGTACTTCTACACCAAAAAGCACAACCGCCGTTAACTCTGGAGACAGAGACACGACATGCAGCAGAGCTCACCGTTTACAGCTGGCGTGGCTTTTTTCTCATCCTCCTCAGAGGAGCTGTCTTCAGAACTGCTCTCCTTTGCTTTTTTCGCAGACGCTTTCACACCATTTGGCGCGCCTACTTTTGTTTTCGTCGTGCCTACTTTTGCTTTTGGCTTCTCCTCTTCTGAGTCCGAGCTGTCTGAGCTGCTGCTTTCCCTTTTCTGTGTGGCAGGCTTTGCGCCTAATTGAGTGGCGGCCTTCTTCGCTGGAGTGGCTGCTTTTTTCATTCGGGTGGCCGTCGTTTTTGCTTTGGGCTCTTCATCGCTTGAAGAATCTTCAGAACTGCTAGTTTCGGCTTGTTTTGCTACTGCAGCTTTGGTGGCCACGGCAGGAGATTTTGCTTTGGCGGCCGCGGCCTGAGATTTTGCTTTGGCGGCCACGGCCAGAGATTTTGCTTTGGCGGCCGGAGTAGTTGGTTTCACCACTTTTGCTGTGGGCTTTGCCTCTTCCTCGCTGCTTGAGCTATCAGAATCTGAGCTGCTCTCTTCAGCAGCAGCCTTGGCTTTGGCTGCTGAAGCACCTGGCTTTGCGGCTGGTTTTGCAGGTGCAGTAGTAGCTGCTTTACGTGGTTTAACAGCTGGAGAAGGCTTAGTCTTTTCATCAGACTCACTGGAACTATCAGAGTCAGAGCTGCTCTCTGCTTTCTTTCCTTTCACTGCAGCTTTAGCCACTCGTTTTGCCACAATCGCTGCCTTTTTCTCTTTAGGGCTTTCAGAGTCTATAAATGTTAAAGACACCATTAAATAACACAAGAGATAATAAACACTCTGGTTTAAGCTGGTTTAAGGTGGAGTCCTGTCGCTCAGTGGTTAGAGCACTCGCTTTGCAAGTGAGAGACCTGAGTTCAATTCCAGGCAGGTCAGGGCGAAACCTTAGGCAAGTTTCCTTACTCCACACGCCTAATAATAATCCCTCCAAAAACCAAAAACAATAATAAAAATTGGTCATTTTCAATCTACGACTGTTTGTGGGACATTGCTGTGCGCAATTGGCTGCCGCGTTCGCCCACAAATATACAGTCAATTCACTTTACAGTGTGTTCTGTGAAGCGCTTTGGGACGTCCTCCCGACGTGAAAAGCGCTATATCAAATGCAAAACGCTATATATTATTATTATGAACTTTATAGGGTTGATAGGAAACACTACATTCAATCATTACCTGAGCTATCAGATGAACTGGACTCCTCCTTTGGAACGGATTTAACTGATTTTACTGCTGGCTTTGCAGGCTGTTCCTCTTCAGAGCTGGAATCTATACAAAAAAATAAGTTTGCTTGATACAACCTTTATTCATTCTGTATTTATATTAACCTTTATATATTACACAATGTTTTGGCAATAGTACTGAAAAGTACTCTAATTGAGTTTGTGGATGTTTTCAATATACACCAGGTAAGAAACATCACTTATCTTGTAGCACAGCTGAGAAGATTCAAGCATAGTGAATAACTAATACTTAGAGAAATAAAAAGGAGATTCTGGTGAACCAAGGTAAACTTAAATCATTCTACTTTTTAAACTGCTGCTTGGCTGAGTTCACTTAATTCAGCACAGGAATTCAACCCATGAACTTCTCATCTGCAAGGCTCAGTGCTCCCATTGCTTTAACAACAAACTCATAAGGAAAGCTCCTAAACTGCAGCCTAAAAAGCAAGTCCAAAGTAAAATTACTTTAAGTTAGTTAAATAAACTGCACATTCGATCAGGTTTCTCATGGTCCTGGATGGCGAATACTGTAAAGTCAGCTGATGAGAAGCATTGCAATGTTGTGCGTTTTGTAAAGCTGTAGTCACTCACTCTTACTTTATTACTTGCAGACATGAAGTTGCCCAGTTGCAGGCTAGAAAATCACCATGTCCTCTCCTGCACCAAACTCCATGACCCCATCTCCCCCACTCTCGCCCAACTCCATTGGCTCCCTATCCTTCAGAGGATCCAGTTTAAGATCCTGGTCTTCACATACAAAGCCCTCCATACATGCAACCTCCTACCCCTACCAACCCGTCCATTCTCTCCGCTCAGCCAGCTCTGGCCCCGCCCCACCATTGGCGGGAGAGCCTTAAGCCACTCTGCCCCCAACCTCCTGAATTCCATCCTCCAGTCACTCCGCCTCGCTGCCTCCTTCAAGTCCCGCCTCAAACTTTCCTCTTCGACCATGCCATCGGCCACCCCCCTTCCCTCCCCCCGACCCCAGCTTGGGTCTGAAATGCTGTACTCTGTCCAGCTCCTTGGGACATCCTCCCGATGTGAAAAGTGCTATACAAATTTAATCCCGTTGTTGTTGTTGTTTGTCATTCTGTGCCTTCGCTGTTGTGAATTTAATTTTGATGGGGCTTTGTTTTTTTGGGGGGGGAGGGGGCGTAAAGTGGTGTGGAAGAAAAAGGAACCTCAAGGGGTAATCGTCTCAACCCAATTGGACCCAACTGAACAGAAGTGTATTAAGTGCACAAATTTCCCCTCATTAAATTTCCCGTTGGAACAGTAATTTCTTTCTCGCTCACCTGACTCGCTGTCTGAGCTGGAATCGGCTTTCTTGCCTGCTGCATTCTGAGCAGCTGCGGCATGTTTTGTGGGTGGTTTACTGGCAGGTTTCACTGGTGCAACTTTTACTGCAGAAAACAAAAACAGTATAGTCAAGATAGCTGGAACCCCACAGACAACAGCAGTTATATAGTATGACAGAAAACCTCAAGTCACTGAAGTTCCTTAGCACCTACAAAATATTCACCCACAAATAGTCAATTCACTTTACAGTATTTTCTGTGAAGCGCTTTGAGACGTCTCGAAGACATGATCAGGCATGGTATCAAGTGCAAGGACTATTATTATCATCTAAAGGTAATAATTTAAAAATTAAGTTACAGCACGATGGCTAGCAACAAGCATCACGGATTTACCATTAAGTACTTACTTTCACAACACCTCAGATACCATTAAATCTGTCATTCTGTAAAGCTGTACTCATCTAACCACCCACCGGCAGGTTTCTTGGGCTCCTCATCATCACTGCTGTCTGAACTGCTGTCTGACGAATCACTGCTTTCCTTCTTAGCAGCAGCTGCTACTGGTTTCTTGACTGTGACTGCTGCTGCTGCTTTTTTCTTCACTTGCGTGGGAGGAGGTACTGCACTGTAAGCACCTGACAGGGCAGAGACACCAGGTATCTTCAGGTTATTTTCAAACACTAACACACACCATCAACATTCAAAGTTCAAAAATGAGAAACACCTGGATGTATTAGTGTGTTGAGAAGACATGGTACAAATTTCACCCCCTCGGGCACTGATTTGGCTGGCATTCCAGCCCAAACTTTTGCAATATGCAGTGTCTGCAGCAACACCAGATGAGGATTTCTGTACTCTATTTAGACCGTTACATTCTGCAGATTTAAGTGCAGTTTCACACCTACAAACAGAAGCCAATTTACACCACCAACTCTTGTTAGTACGCCCCAGACATTTCAAGCAGTCTATGTTCTAATCTTAAACTGACAGTAGCCCTGGAAGGTTGGTCCTCACCTGATTTTGATTTGCTTTTCGGAGCAGGTTTCTCATCTTCTGAACTCTCGGACTCTTCGCTGCTTGAACTTTCTTTCTTACTGGCCACTGCTGCTTTTGCTTTGGCTGGAGTCACAGCTTTTCCAGCAGCCAGGGATTGTGCAGTTGGAGCTTTACCAAGAGTTAGTTTCTATAGAACAGAGAAATTATTTAACATTTATATAGTGCCTTTCATGTTGGGAAGACACTCCAGATTTTTTAAATAATCACTTGTATCAAACTTACTTGTACTTTTGGAATCTTAAATCCCATTTAAGATGAGGTTGGCTTACTTTTAGAATGCAGCATGTATTCTGTGGACAACCTTAAGCTTTACATACATTAGTTTTTAAGCACCTAAAAGCCATATTTTGTTTAAAAAATCATGTAGGAATTCTATTCATTAATGGCAATTCTGTGAGGGTGATTCAGTGAGCCAGACAGCAGCTATCAACACTTGGCAATGGGTTGGGGTGAGGAAAGAGACAACGCTGAATCCAATATTCTCATCACCCAAAGACCACACATTTGCACTTTTGAGTCGGGGGTTGGAATCACTTGATAGCAATTAGGAGCAGGAGCTGCACACTTTCTTCCCTCTGTAGCCCAGAGTTCTGAGTCCCATTGTAGCACACCTACTGGTATGTCCAACTGAGATTAACTCAGTAGTGACTGGGACTGTGCTGAAATCATATTCTGGCAGACTTCCAGTTTGTGCCTTACAATCCAAAATGTCAACAATAACATTTAATCCAAAATCAAATAAGTGCAGGGAAGGAACAGCAATACCATACTGCTGAACAAGACCAGCACTGTTCACCTGGACAGGCGGCTTCTTTGCAGAGTCTGAATCACTGGAGTCATCGCTGGAATCATCACTGCTGCTCTCTTTCTTCTTTTGAGTGGCAGCTTTTGGAGGAACTGAGCAAATAAATAAATAGGAATTGGACTAAAATATTGTAAGACACTAATAAGATTGTTATTATACCACCTATAAGCTAAAATAATCTTCATTTATTCGCAACTGTTAACACAACGAGGCAGTCATCAAATATTCACATAAACCTCAAATTCATGTAACACAAGTCACATGATTGTCTGTCCCATTTGATACAGCTGTATGACCTTAAAATGTTACACTGAAGTTACAGCATTCACACAGCAACCGATGTAGAACTGACACAAAAATGCACTCACACACCTACACCGTACACTCGTATAAATAACTGCACTCACGTGAAGAACGGCCAAGAACATTCCAAGCAACATCAGGGGAATTCAATTTCACCTCACCCTATCTCTGTGACTTCCTGCAACCTCGCTCCCTACTTTCAAGGCATGTCTGACCCCTCCCCACTTCCATCGCTTGAAACTCAACTCAGGTGCCCATCCAGCACCATTAAGTACTTTGTTACATCCTCTTGAGATGAAAGGTGCTATATAATGCAAATTGTTTTGTGAAATCTTCCTGAGATATTTACAGCTAGAACTGACCAGTGTCCTGGAAGTATCCCCCTACCTCTCCAACGATTTGTTTTTTACCTGATTTTACAGTAGCTTTTGCAGCAACTTTTGGAGCTGGCTTCTCATCCTCAGAGCTGTCTGAATCTTCACTACTGGAACTCTCATCCTTCTTTCGCACAGCTGGCTTGGTGACTGGAAGTGGTTTTGTTGCAGAAACCGTTGTTTTTGCAGAAACCGTTGATTTTGCAGAAACCGTCGATTTTGCAGAAACCGTCGATTTTGCAGAAACCGTCGATTTTGCAGAAACCGTCGATTTTGCAGAAACCGGTGTTTTTGCAGAAACCGGTGTTTTTGCAGAAACCGGTGTTTTTGCACCTTTGTTCTTCTACAGGAAAGGTAAAAAAAAGGTTTGATACTGTGGTTAAGAATCACTTCAGTCCATCTGGCAAATTCTATAGTTCTCTGCGCCAAATCTTTGCTTACCTCAAAAAAAGTTACAAGGTGTACAAAAATGTTCAAGTTAAGAAAAACATGATAATAATAATAATAATCCTTGCATTTGATATAGCCCTTTTCACGTCGGGAGGACGTCCCAAAGCGCTTCACAGAACACACTGTAAAGTGAATTGAATGTATATATTTGTGGGCGAACGCGGCAGCCAATTGCGCACAGGAATGTCCGACAAACAGTCGTAGATTGAAAATGACCAATTTATTATTGTTTTGGAGGGATTATTATTAGGCGTGTGGAGTAAGGAAACTTGCCCAAGGTTTCACCCTGCCTGGAATTGAACCCAGGCGTCTTGCTTGCAAAGCGAGTGCTCTAACCACTGAGCTACAGGACTACAGGATTTACTGGAAGCTTTACTGTTTAATGAATCAAAAGTGAGTGATCAAGATGTACTGACAGTACAGAAGATTCAGAATCTATTAATCCAGACACATAGGTTTCAAATTTGATGTTCTAGTTGTAAAATTACCTGTGGAGGTTTCTTCTCTTCTTCAAAATCCGAAGAACTTGAGTCATCGCTGCTGCTTTTCTTCTTTACAGCAATTTTCTTAGTCACGGCTTTAGTGACTTTAGGAGTACATGCCGGCTTGCTCACTGAAAAATTAATAAATGTTGATCAGCCATCAGCCACAATGGAACTCTGTTCACGAGCAGTGACAGCACACGATGGAAGAAGCAATTTTGGAATCATCTCACATAGTTTAGTGCAATTGATAAAACTATCAGCATCTCAGAGAAAGATAGTGCCAAAGGTGTAGACCAACCCCACACCCCACCATTACAACTTACACTCATCTTTCTCTTTTAAACCGATCAATCCATTGTGTGTATTTAGTCTGCTCCCTGTCTCCCCCACTGCCATTTTAGCATTTGTAGGTTTTTATTCCATCATTTTCGCCTTCAGTTTCTTCACTTTAAATACCAAATGCATTAAAATGAGGCACGATAGCTGGTCCTAACTCATCTGCTTCTCTTTCCTCCTCGCAACTGAAATACACCATACCCCACCAACTGCAAAGTAAATGTCAAAGCAAATACCTGAATTCACTTTAGAAAAATCACAAACTTTAAAGATCGCAATATTATTTAGTTTCAGAAAAGACCATTTACATACCAGGTTTCTTTGGTGTCTCTTCTTCATCAGAGCTGTCAGAGCTACTGGACGACTCCTCTTTCTTCACTTTTTTTGCAGGCGGACCATTGAGCTCTTGTTTCCTTTTATTTGATGCTTCAGGTGATCTGTGATAATTCAAAGACAAAATCTGCTTTAAACGTTGTTGCTAACTTTACAACTGAATATTCCTGTTAACACTATACATATTGGGGCACCCCTCATGGTGCAGCTTATGAAGCAGGAGCTCGCTGAATCAAATCCTGATCTGTGCTGGGGTCAGCCAGGGCTGCCTGTGGAGGCTAACTTGGCCCCAGTCTTCCCAGGGTTAGGGGGAGGAGAAATCAGGGTTCTGTTCCCGGTTCCTCTATAGTACCCTCTACTCGTGAGTGACAATTGGATAGAGGGCAGGCCCCTCTACTGTGACTCCCCCTACAGTCAAGAAGCCTGTCAAGGCTCAGACACATATGAACAGTGACCACTTGGGTTACTGGAGGTACCCAATTGCTGTAGATCTGCACCCCACAAGAGAAAAAGAGATTGTGTTCTGCGTTTGTTATAATAAATTAAATGATGCAACCATACAGAATCTATAATTTACAACTTACTTCACCCAAAAATCATAGAAATCCACAAGAGATGGTGATTTAGGATCTGGGGCTTTCTGCAAAAAGAAACAAGAAAGGTTTCACTTAATGAACATTTTAAATTCAAATTTTTAAAAAAAATTCTGTGAAGTACAATTACTGAATTCGTAAGTAATGGAAGTCTTTGCCAAAATCAACATTTACTAAAAGAAAATCTAGGATGGTCATTTTTATGGAAACTAAATCACTTAGGTAATAAATCACTATAATTCTCATTTCCAGACCAGAAATCCCATGTTATTCCTGATTTTGCCTCAGTAACTCGCTTTAGTGCATTTGCTATTACAATCAAACTTATACTAGACATCAGCTGAAGCAGTCATGTATATGAGGTTGTATTGGAAACACCAAAATTTCCACCTTCCACCTTCAAAATACCTATTTGAATTGTGCATGTGTCAAAGCATTATTTTAGGAGGGTAAACAAAATAATTGGGTGGGGAGAGGAGAGAAAGGAAAATAGAAAAGAGGCCTAAAATGAGCAATGGAGTTGCCACTAGCATTTTCAAAGTTCAGTGGTTAGAGCACTTGCTTTGCAAGCGAGAGACCCGGGTTCGATTCCTGGCAGGGTGTAACTTTGGGACAAGTTTCCTTACTCCACAAGCCTGATAATAATCCTTGAAGAAAAAAAATCAATAATAAATTGGTCACTTCAATCCACGACTGTTTGTGGGACTCTGCTGTGCGCAATTGGCTGCTATGTTTCCCCCCACAAAATATGCAGTCAATCTACTTTACAGTATATTTTGTGAAGCACTTTGAGATGTCTAGAAGACGTGAAAAGTGCTATTTAAAATGCAAAGTTTATTATTAAAGTTGTAAGGATATTGCCAATTTAAGCAGATTTCCTTGCCACTCTGAATTAATAGCTCAACTCTATAGTGAATTGATCTCATCACCAAGTCTCTGATGTAAAAACATCTTGACACACAAAGAGATAAAACAAAGTAGTTAATCTTATGTAAACAGATATTAAATTTCAAGATATCTAACTTAACATCTCAGTACAGATGACTGCCATATTCACAAACGACGCAGTTGAACACCTGAAAAGATTTAATGAACAAACTAGACACGAGACTAGTTGTCTGCTAACATTCATCGCCTCAGCAACTTACTGAGCTCCTATTGTGGTATCCAACTGACTAAATCAACAGTTCAGATAAATTAATCTAGTACAGTAGAATTACAAACTAGTATGTTTGTATTTTAAGTTAATGCAAAGTTGTTTTAAATAGAAGTGGCTAATACTTCATGACATTTACACATCTGTGCCATGACCAGTTCTGCCTTCCCTTACCTCCGTTACTGCCTTTCCCCTCATCCATGGTTTCATGTTCAGGCTTAATCCCTGCTCACCTGACTTCTCAACTATTCCCTCCACAAGCTGCAGGTTATTTAGAACTATGCAGCTCATGGCATCTCCTGCTCAAAGTTCTGTGAGTCGATCACCCCCATCCTTGCCTGGCTTCATTGGCTCCAAAATCTCCAGAGGATTGAGTTTAAAATCTTCATCCTCACTTTTAAAGCTCCCCACGGTCTTGCTCCTCCCTAGCTCTGCTACCTACAAAAACCTTACCAATGCCTGCTCTCTCCGCTCGGCAGGCCCTGGCCTGCTGTGACCCGATTTTGCCTGCCCCAGCATCTTCAGTCTGACCTTCCAGTCTTTCTGCCCCCACCGTCTGGAACTCCATCCCTGAATTCCTTTGCCTTGCTCCATCCCTTGCCTCCTTCAAGGTCCATCTCAAGACCTTCCTCTTTGACCATGCCTTCGATCACCATCCTCCCACCCCACTCCCTTTGCCCTCAAATACTGTGATCAATACTCAATCACAGTGAAGAGATTCATTGAAGCATTGTAACATTATATAGGTATTTATGCAGTAGGCAACTGGTGGGAAGTAGGGAAAAAATATAAGCAATAATTAAACTATTGAAGTTAGTCACCATTGTAAAATATTTAAAACTAATCAGACTTCTAGGCAATTAAATTGTTCACCACACATTGTAAATTTACTTGCAGCAGTAATTTTAAAAAATCAAAATCACAGAAGTCAGATTATTTAATAGACAATAAGCTGCTTACGATTGCCACTTTATCTCATAGATCTCTCAGAATTTATTTTTCCCATCAATTTATATATGATAGAAATACCAAACGTGCAAAAATACCATAGCATTTCAAAGAGCATTACAGAGACATTCTTGACGACTGAAACCTGTAAACCCCACATGAAAATCTCCAGTCTGCGCGGTCGAAATGCACGAGGGTGGAACCAGAAACTTTTTCGTACCATAGGAAGTTGCTGCACAGAAGGCCACCTGGGCCTGGACCAAAAAGCACGTGTTCACAAACACATATATAGAAGTAGATCTTCTACAGTTTTACACCGTTTATACGGAAATGGTGGCTACATAATTCAAACACAACCCAGAGAGAGAGAGAGAGAGAGGGGGGGGAGAGAGAGAGAGAGAGGGAGGGAGAGAGAGAGAGAGAGAGACGTAAAATAATATTGGGCACCTAATGCGCCTCTCGCCCCCCGGAAGACCTTCTCGAATCAGGAATTTACTGACAAAAGAAATGTACTGATAAAGGAATTTGCTGAGAAAGTGACGGTTTTGTTGCAGGCGACGCTAAACCATATACACACACACGCACACACACGCACATATCTGTCTATCTATCTATATATAAAACATATATAATACATATAACAAGTACAATGCAGCGCCCTTCACGCGGCGGCGAGGGGCGGCTTTCGGCAACGAGCAGCGGAGTGGCGGGTGTTTTACAAAAGCAGCTCCACGCGGTCCCCGCGGGGGGAGGGGGGGAGGGGAGTGAGGCCACACGCGGGGCGCGGAGACCACTCTGTGGCCGCGGCCCACACGTGTGTGTGTCTCTCTCCCTCTCTCCCTCTCTCACACACGCTTCAGGCCCCCGGGTTTCCCCCGCGCCGCTCCCCTCCCCTCCCCTCACCACGCTGGTTTGCTTGAGGAACTCCTTGGCCGCTTTCTGCAGCTTGTTCTCCAGGAGGAAGCTGTAAACCTGCGGGTAGATGTCGCTCGGAACCACCCGCGCCTCCTCCATCTTGTCGATCGCTCGGCGCTCGCGCTCGCGGCCCCTGCGCCTGCGCGGCGCGCCCGTGACTGCGTCACGGCGACCGGCGCGCGCACACACACACACACACAAAAAAAGATGGTGGTGGGGGAGTGGGGGGGAGGGGGAGAGCACGTGTCAGAGAGAGAGAGGGAGAGGGGGGGGAGGGGAATGGGGGAGGGGGAGAGCACGTGTCAGACTGAGACACACAGAGAGAGAGAGAGAGTGTGGGGGGAGGGGAGTGGGGGGGAGAGCACGTGTCAGACAGAGAGAGAGAGAGTGGGGGGAGAGGAGAGGAGTGGGGGGAGAGCACGTGTCAGACAGATACAGAGAGGGGGAGTGGGGGGAGGGGAGTGGGGGGGAGAGCACGTGTCAGACTGAGACACACAGAGAGAGAGAGAGAGTGTGGGGGGAGGGGAGTGGGGGGGAGAGCACGTGTCAGACAGAGAGAGAGAGAGTGGGGGGAGAGGAGTGGGGGGGAGAGCACGTGTCAGACAGATACAGAGAGGGGGAGTGGGGGGAGGGGAGTGGGGGGAGAGCACATGTCAGACAGAGAGAGAGAGAGTGGGGGGAGGGAGTGGGGGGAGAGCACGTGTCAGAAGAGAGAGAGGAGTGGGGGGAGGGGAGTGGGGGGGAGAGCACATGTCAGACAGACACAGAGAGAGAGAGTGTGGGGGGAGAGGAGTGGGGGGGAGAGCACGTGTCAGACTGAGAGAGAGAGAGAGAGAGAGAGTGGGGGGGAGGGGAGTGGGGGGGGAGAGCACGTGTCAGACAGAGAGAGAGAGAGAGAGTGGGGGGAGAGGAGTGGGGGGGAGAGCACGTGTCAGACTGAGACACATGGAGAGAGAGAGAGAGAGTGTGGGGGGTGGGGGGGCAGGAGACATCACCAGGCTCAGCAGCATCCAAACCAAGCGGACGTTTCCGCGCCTCCCACCTACACACGGCAATCCCGGAGACGACGACGACAATTTGCATTTACACAGCGCCCCTCACGAGGGCCGGCGTCCCCGAGCGCTTCCCCAGGGCGGCTTGGATGTCGGGGGGGCGGGAGGAGAATCCCCAGACCGTGCGCTGAGGGTAACTGCTGGGAGTCCAACCAGCCTAAAACACCAGAGGCTTGCCATTAATAATAATAATAATAATAATAATAATAATCCTTGCATTTGATATAGCGCTTTTCACGTCGGGATATTGCTGTAATATAAAATATATATTATATATATATATATAAAAGCGCTATATCAAATGCAAGGATTGTTATATCGCGCTTTTCCCGTCTTCTAGACGTCTCAAAGCGCTTCACAGAATATGCTGTAAAGTGAATTGACTATTTTGTGGGTAAAATGCGGCAGCCAATTGGGCACAGCAGTGTCCCATTGACTTGGCCAACAATCCCCTGAATAAAATTGATAATTCTTTTCATGGTTATTTGTGGGATATTGCTGTGCTCAATTGTGCTGCCACATTTGCCTACAGTTACAAAGTCACTCCATTTCACAGTAAATCCTTTGAAGTACTCAGAGACATCCTTCAGACATGATAAGGCTTTATACTAAATGCAAGGTTTATTATTATTATTAACTCCAGTTAGTGGACGAAGACTCAGAGACCTTATCAAGCAATCTGTTAGAAAATGCCATAGTTTTGACCCTATTGTGTTAGGAAACACACTGATTACCTCGCTGCTTGTATTTCTACCCCTCGATTGTGGATGTAATTTCTGTCCACTTTACGTCCGAATTATTGTAATGGCCCATGATAAGATCCCAAAAGCTGGCAAAGCTTGGCCTACTATTCTAAGGTTGCATATACACAGCTCATTACTCTTCATGAATTTGAATAGTCAGGTCATGATGTTCATTTCTGGGATTCCATCCAAAGATTTATAATATGATAATGAGACATTTGAATATCTTGGGAAGGAAGTGGACAACAAGGAACAACCATGAGGTTCATCCAGTGCCAAATTGTGTGACTTAACTGAATGTTTCAAAAAGAATATGAAAAGGTATGGGGGAAATAAGCAGGAAAATGGGATTAGAGCAGATGGTGAAAGAGGCAGAAGTGATGGTCTGAATGGCCTGGTGTTATAACTTTCTATGATTCTATGATTTGTGACAAATCTTTTTCTGCCACTCCTGTGGTTCAATTGGGGCTCACACAGAGTACAGGCACAAACAGGGTGCTGCTATATGTTGAGTGCTTGAGTGCTGTTATATGGCTCACATATAACAGCACTTGTGGAGGTCATATGTATGAAGTCAGTGATTTAATAAATATTGAGATAAGTTTGGAATCTCAGCCTTACACTGGCTTTTCTACAAATATAGACATGACAGTAACAAATTATGGAGTTCTTTCAGACACGATGCTATAAAAGGCCAAATGAGAAATAATGTTGATACATTCAAGAAGAATCTAGACCTTAACATGAGGGACAGGCAATAGAAGAGTATGGTAGGAATTTCATGGAGAGTATAAACACTGGTATGGCTGAACGGCCTGTTTCCGTGCTGTACGGAAGATGAGATGTAAAACCGAGGTTCTTTCTGCCTGTTCAAATGTGGCAGTATTTGAAAAGAGAAGGCAGTTTCTCCTGATATCCAGGAAAACAATTTCCAAAATAAAACTGTTCATTCATGTCATGGATGTTTGTGGGTCGTTGCTGTCTGCATTGTAGGCGATAACCAAATTGTGCATGGCAATGTCCCACAACCACCTTGAAGTGAATCCCTGATTTTATCTGGAGGATTATTGGCAGGACACTGGGAGAAACTGCTTCTCTTTTTTTAATTGAACAAGACCTCCGTTTGTGGAGTTCTGTAGCTCAGTGGTTAGAGCAGTTGCTTCGCAAACGAGAAGACCTGGGTTCAATTCCCAGGAAGGACAAAACATTGGGCAAGTTTCCTTACTCCACACATCTCTGTTTACCTAGCAGTAAGTAGGAACCCGGTTGTTAGTTGATTGGCAGATCACTTTTCTGAGGGTAATAATCTGTTCTTTTTAAAAAAATATGGTCACTCAATGTATGAATGTTTGTGGGACACTACTGTGCGCAATTGGCTGTTGCGTTTCGCCCACAAAAATATACAGTCAACTCACTTTACAGTATAATCTACAAAGTGCTTTGAGACATCTCGAAGATATGTTAAGATGCTGTATCAAATGCAAGAATTATTATTAACATCTCAACTAAAGGACGACATCTCTGACATTGCAGTGCTTCCCCAGCAATGTGCTGGAGGGCCAGCTTAACTGTGGGCTTCTGTGTGACTGCAGAAGAACAACATTAGTGCCACCTGGTAATGGAGCTGATCCCTTGGGATGACTGAAAATAATGTCACAAAAAAGTGGTATCAAAGTAGTGTTATCACACTGCTCCTGAGGTCACACTAATAATAATTTGGTCACTCAATCCATGACAGTTTGTGGGACACTGCTGTGTGCAATTGGCTGCTACACAGTCAAATGACTTTACAGTATATTCTGTGAAGCGCTTTGAGACGTCTAGAAGATGTGAATAGCGCTATATCAAATGCAAGGATTATTATTATTATAAAATATAGTTCACCCAAGAACTAATATTTATAAATGATACACATTAGAATCTAATGGTCCACAGAAAGTAAACCATCACCTGCCTAATTTATGCTGTCTAATTCATCACAGCAGTTGTCAGTCTCTGACATGAATTCTATTTATAGAACACATATGATGTAACTTTGAGGAAAAAAAACATTTTTGAGCAATGTAGCATTCTGGCTGTAAAATGCAACATACATTAAGGTGATGTTATGGAGTCCTGCAGCTCAGTGGTTAGAGCACTCGCCTCGCAAGCGAGAGACCTGAGTTTGATTCCTGGCAGGGTGAAACCTTGGGCAAGTTTCCTTACTCCACATGCCAGATAATAATCCCTCAAGAAAAAAAACAATAATAAAATTAGCCACTTCAAACCATGACTGTTTGTGGGTCACTACTGTCTGCGATTGGCTACCATGTTTCGCCCACAAATAGACAGTCAATTCACTTTAGAGTATATTCTGTGAAGCGCTTTGAGACATCTAGAAGATGTTAAAAGCGCTATATCAAATGCAAGGATTATTATTATTATTATTTAGTTATGGACCTTATTTGGTCCCATCAATTTGTGACTGGAGCTCAAAAGGATAAGGATGACATTTCTTTTGTTTCCGTGAGATTATTTGATAGATTAACATTTTAGGTTCATGCTTTGTGAAATCATGTATCCAACGGTACTTCAAATTGGACCAATACCTATTTTCGTTGGGAATGTTATCTTTTTCATGCTCTGGTTACTAATAATGTTGCTGTCATTGCTTTTGATGTAGATGCCAGCTGCGTGACTCTAATACTTCAGGGGGAAGGTTTCTGGTGGGAAGATTAAGCTATTGTTCTAAAGACTACATGTATTATGTTACAATTTTTTTCACAAATTGGTTCCTAGCACTGTTTCCCTCTTGAATCTACCAGTTATCTGTGTTGCTGAGTTATATTCTGAATTTGCTAATGGAGTAATGCAGTGACTCAACCTATGTGGGCGGAGGGAAGTTTATTGTATTTCCTGTCATTTTAGCATACATGACACGTAAAGTAGCATAATTGTCAATATTGCAGTGGTATCTGACTGTCTCACAAATAAGAGCACTTGTGTAGGTCACATGTATGATCCTCTTGGGAGAGGAGTAGAAAAACTCAGGAGAAAAGAATAAATTAAATGCTAACAGGTTTAATCTTTCCTTTCCTTTGCGTATTCACTTTACACTTTAGTTCAGTGCTTCTAAAATGAGCACAGTGCTCATTTTATTATTATTACAACAGACCAGTTGAAAGTGTACAGGATAAGCAAGTAGAAACTCTAAAACCACTTCATCTACAAATCTGTAGTATCTAGCCCAGTAATACTTTTCAATGTTTAAATCTGTTACCCAGCAGTAGTGCTGCTTTTCCTTGAGCGAATCTATGGACTCCTAATAAAAAAAATCTTATGCACAGTTTATCTATATTCCATAACAAGGGACTGCAAAT